CTACATAGTGACTGTTACAGTTCCTACACAATATATTATAGTCCTGTTTTGTTGTTATTATTGTTTGTTTTGGAGCTAATGGAACTTCTAGTGTATTTAAGTTTTTTTTTTGAGAGTTCTGGTTTTTTTTATTAATTAATCAAATTTATGTGGCTGCCCATCTCACAGAAAGTGACTCTTGGCAGTGTGCAACAATCCAGTAAAATAGAAAATCAATAAGACAATCTTTAATTAAAACTATTATATAATAACTATTGGAAAAAATTAAAAATTACAAAAGCAAAGTTAAGACAAAAAAAAGAAAATACAAGTAGTCCTTGATTTACGACCACAATTGAGCCCAAAATTTCTGTTGGTAAGTGAGACAGTTAAATTAATTTTGCTCCATTTTATGACCTTTCTTGCCACCGTTGTTAAGTGAATCACTGCAGTTGTTAAGTTAGCAACATGGTTGTTAAATTATTCTGGCTTTCTCATTGACTTTGCTTGTCAGAAGATCGCAAAAGGTGATCACTTGAGCCCAGGACACTGCAACCATCGTAAGAATGAGTCAATTGCCAAGTATCTGAATTTTGATCAGGTGACAATGGGATGTTGCAATGGTTATAATTGTGACAAATGGTCATAAGTCACTTTTTTCAGTGCCACTATAATTTTGAAGAGTCACTAAATGAACTGCTATAGTTCTAATACTGTAGATGCAGGGATGTTAGTAATAAAGCTACCTCGTAATTTCATCTGCAAATAAGATTGTAATAGTCTTTTTTTTTTTTCCTGAGAGGTTTCTGATGTATGGCAGTGTTATCCTTTTCATAGTTTGCATTAGTTGTGCTGTACTGCATCGAGTGGTTGGATAAATTTGCATAGGCATCTATTTTGTTGGAAGATGTTGTATAAGGCGATCTGCTTTTTCCCCCTGGTGTTCTGAGTGTCTACAGTGCATTTGTGCTCTTCTTACATAGCTCCTCTTGTGGGAGATTGGATTATTATTTTGATAATGGAGTTCCTGGTTAGCGTGAGTCATTTTTTGATAGACTTGTGTTTCTAATTTGCTGCTAATTTGCACAATGCAATTTTCAGCACTCTAGAAGTTCTGTCTACAAAGAGTCTTGTTTAGCTTTGCACTTTAACTGTGGGACCAGAAGAGAGCACAGGAGATTATGGGACCGGGCAGGGAGCCATCTGTTCCCTGCCCTGGGTCCTTCAGGATGAGATTGCTTATATTGTGCAGTCACTTGGCCTTTTCCAAGAGATCATGAGATCATTTTCCATTAGTAACCCTCCCATGTTTTCCAGTGGTTATCTCTTTCTATTCCATTAAAAAAAAAAACCTGGAATAGCTGCACGATGTATTTTGATTTCGTGTTGCTAGGATTGCTCCCTCTGGAGGTATTCCATGGTCAACATAATCAAAATCTCTGCATGGTCCTCGTGTGCTAATTTGGGGCAGGTGAGGACAGTGGATGGACCTCTGAGCTTTTTCAAAATGGTGGACTTGATGCACCCCCAATCCATCCCAATACTTTTGCATTCAAAGTAATTCCATGCTCAGAACAGGGCTGTTGACTTTAAGGAGTCCCCCCCTGATTAAGCAGGGCAATAACTGCAGCCTAAGCATTGAACACAAGAACTCATTCTTTTGTTCAGAGTGAAAAAAATGTGAATAGAACAATGGGAGTCTGAATTTGGCTTTAGTAATACCAGCTCATGTTAACACTATCATCTGCAATCTGACTCAGGCCTGCTCTTTACCACGCTTTAGTATGACACGGGTAGTCCTCAACTTACGGCCACAGTTAAGCCCAAAATTTCTATTTCTAAGCAAGACAGTTGTTAAGTGAGTTTTGCCCCATTTTATGACCTTTCTTGCCACAGCTGTTAAGTGGATCTCCAACTTACAGTTGTTAAGTTAATAACATGGTTGTTAAATGAACCTGGGTTCCCCACAAGTCGCAAAAGGTGATCACATGACCCTGGGACTCTGCAACCGTCATAAATATGAGTCAGTTGCCAAGCGTCTGAATTCTGATCACGTGACCATGGTGGTGCTACAAGGATCGTAAGTATGAAAAATGGTCACAAGTCACTTTTTTCAGTGACTTTGTAACTGCAAATAGTCATTAAATGAACTGTTGTAAGTCAAAAAATACCTGTATTCTTTGTTAACTTTAGCAGCCCACAATTATATGGTAATTTTCACTAGATCCTCGAGTTACAGCATGAAAAAGAACCACATCATGAAATATTGTAATTAGGTGTATGCAAATTACAGCATTTTGTTTCAAAACGCTTCAAGCACAACATTTTGTGTTGACTGTAGAGTGTAAAATGGATCATTTTGAGGATCCTGAAAGTGTGTGCTCAAATCAGCCTCTCAGAGGAGATATGAAAGTAGCATCACCAAGAGGTTGGGTCCAATGTCCTCTTCTAATTTTGACACTTTTTTTTCCATATGTAAAACCAGCATGGTAAGCCTAAAGTACCTATTTTGCTTCTTATTTTGCATATTTAAAAAAGCACAAACTAAATTTTTGAAGATGATACCTGTAAGAGCTCCAGGAGTAATAAAAAATGTTTTCTAGGAGATATGTTGGAGATATGTTCCTCTCCCACCCCACTCCAAAATACATGAGATTCTCAATTCTTTCTTGAAAATGAAAAATAATCTCCTGCATTTGATTACAACCTATTTCCATCTTGCAAGTTTCTTTTCCCCAGCTGTAATAGAAGGAAGCAGGGTTGCTAAATGAAATTCACTGGCCATCTTGATTAGAGTCATCTTGTAGTCATGCTAAGTTGGATCTAGACAACATTTCCTACATCAATATATCTCCTGACAGTTCAGCTTGCCTTGGGAAAGACAGAACACAGCTAGTTCAAATGAAAGATTAATGTGAAGCCAGAGACAATTGGAGGAAAAAAGTCAAAATACGAAGTATGTTTACTATCAGAAAGATTAGAGCTATTCCTGATCTTGGTGAAAAAAGGAAGCAAAGTAACCTTGAAAGGGTTAGAGAATTTTCTGGATTTCTCCTTCAGTTCTTTAAGGAGAAAATATCTATAATCTGCTATGTGAAACAGCAATAAACTCATAGTACTGTGCAGGGCTTTTTTTCTCACAGAACGCCCAGAACGGAGTTCCGGCACCTTTTTTGGGTAGAACCTTGTAGGGTAGGCAAGGTGGGTTGTATGACGTGTGTGAGTTCCGGCACCTTTTTTTTTTTTTTTTAAAGAAAAAAAGCACTGGCACTGTGCAGGCTTTCTCAAGAAAAATAATCCCAAAGTGAAATTCTAAAGGAGAATTCTGCAGGGATCAGTTAGAGATGGGACCAGCAGTTCCCTAAAACAAGCATGTTTTGGAACTGTCCATTGGTTCAGAGATAACTTAATGCCTTTACATTGCAGCAAATGTATACTAGCGAACATCAGTTTTACCAGCCTTTGTGAGTCTGGTGTCCTGGGTCCAGATGTGCTGCAATGATAAATTCCAGAATTCCTTTTTAAAATTCTAGGATATGCGATCCTCAAAAATTTAACCAGTTGTTGGTAAAGACTAAATTCAGCATCTTCAGCCAGCCATTTGCAGAAATTTATATACAGGTACTCACTGGAAGCTTAGAATCTTATTCTTGGGGGGGGGGAGAGAAGGAGAATCTCCTATATCAGTATGATTATATAATTATAAATTCTTCAGCTTGGCCAGATGGTAACCTATTTTTGTCAAACACCAATTCATCTATCTTTTTTTTTTTTTAGAAAGAGACTGAGATGCTAGGATTGACAGGTTATCCTAAAATTTAGAAATTAGGCATGTTTTCTGTTATTAATGAACCATTAAGATTTCATCTGTGTTTAAGGATTGTAATTGCTCTATGAGATGCAATAATAGGTCTTAATGCAATAATAGGTCTTAATTAGAAGGGCAGGTACATCTATATCCTTCCAAGCCTATCTTTAGTTCCCTTAAATTCAATAGTACCCTTTATTTTGATGTGCAAAAATAACAGAATTCAAACTGGAGACATGGAGATTCTAAAGCAGCTGTTTTCATCCAGTAATGTTCTGCATTTCTTAAGAATTGCTAAGCATCATGATTCAAGCAGTGGTGGTTGTCTAAGGCTTAGTGGTTTGGGGGAGAAAGGAGTAAAGGATCAAACCAATTGTTATTAAAAACATTAAGACAAATCTGTATGACAGTATATGCCTTTTCCACAAGGGAAGAGGCAAGTTGGCAGAACAGGCATCAGTCTAACAGAGACCACAATGCAAAATCTAAAGGGAAATCAAAATGCAAGCAACCCAATGAAAATGACAGGAAAGTTCTCTGCCTATTTGAAGGGTTTGGCTAGAAAGAGCCAGAGCAGCTGAGAGGAGGATGAATGCCCAGTGTGGGGGAGAGCATGCTCAGTGCAGCTATGGTCCTACTGTACAAATGGATTAATAGAAGTGGGTGGGGAAGCCAAAATCAGGGGGATCTGGCTCCACAATCTCGATTAGGAAGAGATTTCCCTCTGTTGTCCTGGCTGGCTCGCTCTCACCCCCCCCCCACCCCCTCGGCTTCCAGGCTGCAATTCCAAACGGTGCATTTTACCAGGGATGAAGCGAGGGAATCATCCCTCTGGAGGATCCAGTTCGTGCCAAGCGGCAACCTCTCATCTCCCCCCTTCGTACTCCCAGTTAAGCAAGACCCTTCCGGCTAAAGGCCAGAATCAATCCGAATTAAATGGGAACTGGGGAGGAGAGAACTGAACGAGCAAGTTCGCTCCCGCGCCGGGCAAAGCTGCAGAGCCTCCCGCTTGCTTTGCTTCAGGATCATCGCGGGGCCCTCCGGGAAGCTGCGTAAAAACGCAGCCTATTCCAAAGCCCGGCACGCCAGGCACGGAACCGCAGCATATCGCTCGGTCCTTAAATCGCTTCCCTGCCCGCCCGGTCGCCGCGGGAGAAGTTGCGGGGAGCGCCTCCGCTCGCCTTGAGGGAGGTTCCCGAGCCGGTGGCCTCACCTTGGGCCGGCCTGGCAGGCGGTCGCCCAGTCCACTCTCCCGTCCGGCTGCAACCCGCGCAGTCAACGGCAAGCTGAGGCGCCGCCGCCCCCTCCGCCGGAGCGCAAAACCGCGCCGTTTCCGCCTTCAAGCCAGTCTGGGGAGCGATGCGCCTGACCGCCCATGGCGACGCAGTGCCGCCGAGTCGCAGGCCGCTGAGGCAAACCTCCCCGGTTTAGCGTTCAGCCGGCCGGTCTGCGTTCTCCCAAACACGTTTCGGGAAGGAGAGCGTTGCCGCCTTTGGCTCGCCGCTCGCTCGGATCCCTCGGAGAAATCCGCGGACTGGTGGCTGCGCGCGCTCGTGCCTGTGTGAATGATGCAGGAGCGGGTGCCGGAGCGCGCGCTCCACGGAAAGGCGGCGAGCCGCGCGTGCGGATGGAGGCTCGATGGAGGCTGGCGGGGTGTATGGAGCTCGGCTTCTGCCAGCCGCCCTCAGAGAAGGCAGTCCTTTGTTTGGAAATGGTTGCTTCTTCCCGGCTGCCACCGGCGCCCGAGCATCGCCCTGCGCGGCCTTGAGCGGCAGGAGGCTGAGCTTTTGTTTATCCACGGGCTCGATCGCGCCTGGCGCCGCCCTGGCAAGCCCCGCTTGCGCGACGCGATCCTAAACCTGTAGATTCACTGGCTTCTACCAAGAGACTACAAATAGAATTAGTATTGAGGTTACCTAGCTGGGTAATGAAACGTCTGCAAGAAAACAACCAGGCTCAGAGAGCATCAAGGACCCCTCATTTCAACCCTGAGCTGCAAATATTCTCCTTTGTCAGAATTGCCGTTTTTGTTAATAGTCTAATTATCCTTGAAAAAGCCATCTCTTGATGTGCAGCGCCCCGTTTGGCTGTCTTCAGAGGGAAAGTGGCTTTTCTCAGTAAGTGAAAAAAGCAAATAATGAACACCTAAAATAATGAACACCTGTGGCTACTCCTGTGCAAAAATAAGCTATGTATCTATCAGGATGCTAATTGCACTTGCTTCACTCCCTAGCACTCTACATTTAGCTTTCCACAAGAGTAAGTGGGTTGGGACTGGGGTAATAATTAATGCAGCTTATTAGCATAAAGCCCCATCTCTTCTCCTACGTCCTGGTGTTGCAAGCTCTACCAGACCTTTCTCAACATGTACCTAATCATACTTCAAAGATTGTCAATATGGGTAGGATTGAGCTTCTTTCAGGCCTATCCCTGAGGTGTATGTAACCTTCATCTTATCCCCAGCTATATGAGAGACACCCCTCTGCCCATGTTGAAAGTAGACCAAAACTTTGCAAGGACAATCTTAACCTGTTACATTTCATTCCCTTCACCAAAACCTGTTGTGTGGCATCACCCATGACTTTGCTGTAAAATCAGGGACCAGAAGGGGAGGGGATCAGAAGTTCAGGCAGCTGAAGGGTGTCTCCCTTCTCCATGTCTTTTCAGCCTCAGCCACTGATTCCTTAAAGGATGGACTATCTGGCTTCTGAGTGGACATTCTCCATTCAGATTTTTTTAAAAAAAATTCTGCAATACAAAAAGGTTCATTATAAATAGCTTTCAAGTTATCTTATACATATGCTGGAAACAAGATGAAGGCATGTAAGTGACACATGCCCTTTCCTAAATATTATCAAGGCATATTTTTGTCATGATTGTGTAAAAATGGAGGGCAGTGGCATCATCAGCTGAATCAAGCAAATGATCACGCATTCAACAATGAAGATAGGAATTTATATTAGTTAATGTATGCACAAATTGCTGGAAGAGTAAACAGTCACCTGAAGAAAGGAGAAACTTTGAGAAAAATGACTGAATTTGAAATGCTTATTCAGATTGAAGATCAGGTATTGGGATGCATTAAAGATTGATACTGAAATATGGCACAGAGGCAGAACAAATTAAATATTGCATGATCAAATGGATGTAAAACCTCGAAATAAATGAGAAGAAGAATGGGAAGAGGTATGGGGGGAAAAATCAATGAAACGTATTCCAGGTATAATTTGGGGAAATTAGTAGAGTGTTTTACAGATGGAGTATAAGGGCAAGATAGATAATAAAATAATAAATGTTGCAAATGCTGTAAGAAAAAAAGAAATATTTTCTCACATGCAAATGCTCAAAATTTGGTATAAATTTGGAAAAGTAAAATTTACCAACAATATAAAAATGGGAGAACCAACACTGGAGAATATGCAGTAATAGTAAAACTGATAATACAGTATAAACTTGTGGCAGAAATTTAAGTTAATTTAAATAGGGATCTCCTTATATATATGAAACATTACACAGCAAGGCAGATTTAGATATTTGGAATATGCTTTTTGGGAGAAGAGTTGAAGCTAATTAAAAACAACAGACAAAACCTTAAGCAGATATAAGCAATAATCCCCAGTGTTCAAAATACAGCACAAATATTTAAGTAGTGGTTAGCGGTTGGGGAAAAGGGGAAGCGAAGGGAAGAAGGTGTTACTGAATGTTCCTCTTCACAGCTTGCTTGTTTTATTCTCGCTTTTTGCATGTTTATTTCTGTGTAATTTTTGGTTAGATTTATGCATTAAAAAAACATTTTACTATGAAGAGGGTGATTTCTGCAACATTGAAATGGGCTGTAGTACTCCTCCTTCTCAACTCATCCCACCCTGGATATAGGTATATTGGACAAATATCATCCTCTCTCCAGCCCTTCTTTTGAAATTGTGTTAGGAAGGCAGTAACAAGAGTATTTCAGAGGAACTGAATTATGTGAGAAACCTGTCAGGACTGAGATTTAAGAAATGTACACTTCTGATCCTATTAGAATTTCCAGCTATTATTCTAGCTAACATCAACCATGGTATCTTCTAAAGTGCCATTCAGAGTTGGGAGCACTGTGCTTTAGTATTTCCATGCCTTACTTACTAGAGAGAGATCAGTTAGGGCTCTTGAGTATTTGGAGTGTCCTAAGGCTCAGCTGTTCCCCACTACTTTTTAACATCTTTATGAAGTCACTGGTTAAGGTATGGTCTCATCAGTATGCTGATGATTATCCACTAAATCCTCCAGGGTCTGGATTCTGTTAAGGCAGAAATGTCAAACTCGCGATGTCACGTGATGTCACGCAACATATCGGAAGAGTTTTGCTATTGCCGGCAATGGGGTGGGCGCGGCTTCCGGATGACGCGTCCTGCATGCGGGCCGACAGTTTGACACCCCTGTGTTAAGGTGTGGACAGGAAGAAATAGCCTGAAATTAAACTCAAGCAAAATATAATTATTTGTCCATCAAGGTTCTCTGTCAGCTTCACATTCTCCTTCTTGACAATGACACTGCCCTTGAGAGAACAAGTCTATAACTTGGAGGTCCTTTTGACTCATGAATGATGTTCTGTCAGAAACTCTAAATGTTCTACCAATTGTGACCTTATCAGGAGTTTTGTCACAGTGACTTATGTTCTCATTGCCATCTGGCCAGACTACTGTAATATGCTGTATACAGTATGTAGCTCCAATTAAAGACCACTCAAAAACTTTAGTCGGTACAAAATGCAGCAGCCTATGAATTAGCTGAAGTGATATACCATGATCCCGTTATACTTATTCTGCAGTTAGAATTGATGGGTCTTATTAATAGCCTGGGAGAATTTGCTTGTAACTTTTTGTTATTAAGACCTCAGAGAGTAGAAGTTTAAGTTGAGAATTAAAGCTAGAGATGTTCCAGAGAACTTTTAACTAGTTGGATAACGCCATTATTTTAAAGAATTGTGAATTGCTACATTTCAGTTGATATGTTGTTGAAATGTTAACTTTATATGTGTTTATGATTCTTTTAGTGATATACCACCAAAGTCTCAGGAAATCAATGGTCTAACAATCAAATAGGTAAATAAATAACGATGTGTAAAGGAATCAGGCAAAGATCGATCTGTCAGGTGCAAAAGATCATGAACACACATGTTCCAATTAAACTGATTTGTAACTACTCATGCCTATAGACAGGAATCAACTCAACTAATGCTTACTACTAGATAAGGGTCAATGGAATTCAAAAGGGGTTGGACTTAGACTGTGGGATTTAGACTCTCTAGGCTGATTCCTCTTTTAACTCCACCCTCAGGTTCTACAACACCTTCTCCTACACTATCTATCATCAAGGCTGTTTATGTTTCTAGTCTCTCTTTCAAAGAAAGGATTTTCTATCCATCATTCATAAAATAAAATACAATAGGCTGAGTTCACACTACCTGCTAGTCAGGTACTTTGTGGCTTAATGCTGTAGTAAACCAACCTAGGATTGGGGATGAATTGATTCTCAGTCCATGGATCAAATTGATGAAACTCCTGTAAAACCATACTGGAATATTAACATCACTAATGAGTCTGTGCAAAGTGCCTGAATTGTAGATTTATCCCACTTCCCTCTTATATATTTTTGAAAGAAGAAATAAAACAGAATTCCCTTTCCATTTAGTGGATTGTTTGGTTGTGTTTACATTCAGCCAAGGGTTATGGTTTAAAATAAATATGAGTCCATTTCCGAACAAATTACATCAAATTTTGTTGAAAAAACAAAGGTTTATTTTAAACCACAAGCCATGGTTTGTATATAAATTAGGAATCTGCTGTACTGAAGCTAAATTCTAGATGCTCAGCCTTGGTACTTGGCAAAGTTAACTCTTTACTTATTTATACACATGACATTGTATGTGAACCAATGGATAGCAATCCACGTTTTCCAGGTCATTATAAGAATTTACACTAACGGGCATCACAGTATTTTTAAAAACTTATTTTGTTCCTGGCTATATTCCATTAAACTCTTTTTCCAATCTATTACAAGTTTCATGTACCTCTTGTAGCTGTTTTGAACAAATATTTGAACAAATAACATAAGAATAAGCTACTAATACAGTTCTGAGGTCTTGTTTATTCACAGTTTATTGAGTTTATTTTAGACATAAATACATATTTGTATGGCTCAGGTTATAACAAATGTACTGTTAGATATAGAAAACATTTGATGAAACGTAGTGGCTATCTTCCTCCCAGATGTCTCTATTCTCACATGCGATCAGACGCAAAATCTGCCTAGCAACATATATATTTCTATGTGCATTATAAATGTGGCTTGTATCCAACATTAAAGCAGTACTTTGGTTACAGGTTAGCATTTTAATCTATACATATATACAATTTTATTGGAGTTTTAAAAAGTTCTGTAATATAGCACATATATTTTATAATCTTGTGGGATTACTTGTAGGAAACTTCCTCAGCAGCCCCCAATAACCAGGATCTAGAGAGTTTATGGAATTTTCCTTAAAAAGCTCTATCACAAACTCTTCCTCAAAGACTCTTCAGTTTCCAAAGCAAGTTGAATCTGAGTGTCGGAAATATTATCCAAGACAGGTTAGTTCAAAGAAATCTTGAAATTAGGGAACTAGTTTCATATTTTATCAACCAATGGCAAAAAAAAACACTATTGAACAAAAAAACTAAATAACAAGTGTTTTGAGGAATGTAAACTGGGATGGTTAAGTGCTAAAAGTTAAAAATATTTTTCCAACTTATGTAGACATTATCAGTTCTTTTTATTGTCCTCTGCTCATTTCTGCAATGAAAGACTCATTTGGAAGAACTTGATAATGCATTTGCAACGCTTTAAGCCATAAAATTATGGCTTAAAGAACTGATAGTTGTATCTTTATTATGGAAAATTCTCATCTAGAAATGAATTCTGGGAATACCAAGTCTGCACTAAGGAGCCAGAAATTCAAATATTTCAATACTGCTGACCTAAAATATATATGACAAGGTCTCACATCCAGCCAAGGTATCAGAACTCTATGTTCTGTGTGCATGGAAGGTGCTAATGTGTATTTGCTTTGCTCTGTCTCTTGCTTTATTCTCTTTGATGTGTCTCTAACAGGGTGGGAATGGAATGTACCTCTGGCCATCCGCCTTATCTCCGAGTGTGGAAGAGACGGTGCAGACCTCTAACAGCCTTGGAAACAGCACCTTATCACTCTGTTTCCACAGCGTTTTCACGCCGGCAGGCAGATTGGCCTGTTTGAACTGTCCGGATGGACAGTTTGGGTGGGGTTACTATGGACACTTTTAATTACTTGATTTGCACGGGAAACCCTCAGATCCTGCCTTCTATTCATGCTGCCAACATCTCCCAATTAAAGTTCCTTTTGAAATGATGCCATTTCAAGAGTTATGCTTTCTTGGGAGAACTGATTGAGGCGGGTCCTTATACAAGGACACACACTTATGATATCTAGTGAGTGTTTGACTACGAAGACCAGTATCTGTTGGAACCATATATAAAAGAGCAACTCAAAGACAGAAGTGATTATCCATGATACCTACTAAGCTGTAAATTTGTGATTCCACAAATATGAATCTATACTTGATTAACTAGATAGTAAGGCTTTCAATGGTCTAATTGAGAGAAAAATCTATTGCTCATATTAAAAGTGTGTTCTAATTTATTGCAAACCAATAACTTGCTGGTAGATGCCACTCCATTTTCTGCTTACTCTTTTTCCATCCTCATGAAAAGAGGAAGTCCCTTCCCCTCTCACACAAACATATTTATGTCTTCATTATTGTATAACTATTACCAAATTTAGTCACACGTAACATAATCAATATTCATTGATCTATTTGGCTCTACCTCAACTACAATGGATTCAGTCTACAATACTTGAAAGAAATGGCCATAACACAGCTTTGTAATATAAGTTTCCTACTAGAATTTCCCTTCCTTCAAGAAGGAAAAAGATGAAATTAGGACTCTGTGATCCAACATACTGCTCTTGGTACAGCAAAGCTCGTTTAGTTTAAATTCTCATCTCCCATCCCATCCTACCAGAATATACCACTATTACATATACAAACCCCAAGAAACCCAACTGGGTAAGCTTGTGAGCTTGAGATAAATCTCATCCTGCAGCTAAACTCTGGCAAGGCTCAGATACACCCAGGTTTTAAGACATCACATAATTCTATAAATTGTAAAATGATTGCCAATGCTCAATTGCCATTATCCAGAGTCATTACAATGGCTCCTGAAGTTGTAACTGTTGGTCACGAGCAATTAGTTTTTCACAGGAGTGATAGCACCTGTGTATGCATCCCAAGTAAGTATCTAGTTTTTCATTTTCATAAAAGGAAATGTGTTGACTTGCTTTAATTATACAAATTCTCTTCCTTACTGCTTGGAAATGGCCATGGCATTTTCTTTCTATAGATGTAGGGCTGGGTGTTTTTGCCAATATTCACATGACAAATGCACATTTGTTGACTTCAGATTAAAGTCTGTATAAATAAAATGCATTGGTAACAGTCAATGATGTATCTGGAGAGCAGTGAACTTCTAACGTTTCACTTGATGGGGCTGTGGGGCTTGCATGCTCCAAAGAGGATGAGAGTTATGCCAGAGGTTCAAGCATCCTGGGCAAACAAACCAATTAATTTACAGCATGGCTGCAGATATAACTGAAAATGTTGGATGCAAAATCAACAAACAAGAAAAAAACCCAAACAGTACACCACCAAAATAGAAGATCAGGTTATAAAATAAGAACAGCATGTTAAGATCAGATGCAAGCAAGCTGGAACAGATGAAAGACAAGAAGCTAAAGAACAAGAGGACCAAATAACACCTGATCAAGAAATATCAACAAATAACACTCACAGCCGAGAAAATCAGCAGATACAAAGCTCAAATTGCACACTACAAGCAGAATCTTCAATTTCAGTCAAATCAGAAATGTTTCCACCAATCCATTAATGGAGAAACTGCAGTGAACCAGCCACATCCGGCAAAGAAGAAACAGTGCAGTACTGGGCATAGTTATGGGACAACCCAAAGAAATAAAAGAATGCAGCTTGGCTAAAGGAGGTGGATAAGAATAAAACAGGACTTGTAATAACAGCAGAAATGGTGGAGAAAAGGGCAAAGAAAATCAGGAATTGGTCAGCAGCACCAAGTGAAGATGAACTGCATGGTTTTTGGTTAAAATATCTGACTGGTCTACATCTACTCATTGCCAAGCAGTTTAACAACATACTGCAAAGAGGTGAAATTGAAGAGTGGTTAACATATGGCAAAATCTACCTCATAATGAAAGATCCAGCAAAAGGGGCCGTACCGGGTTATCTACAGGCCAATTACCTTCTTACCAATGACTTGCTCACTGATGTGATAGCTGATGCAGCCCAATAGCATCTAGCTGAAAACAAGCTCTTTCCATCTGAGCAAACCACTCAAACAGAAAAGGAACGAAGATTAACTAATAATTGATGATTCTGGAAAACTACAAGAGAAGGAAAGCCAAGTTGAACATAGCTTGGACTTATTATAATAAGCCATTTGACTCTCTGCTACATTATTGGATAATCAAATGTCTAAAAATAACAGGAATCAGTAGAAGCTTTAAGCAAAGATCATGGCACAATGGAAGACACAGTTACTGGTCAATGTTGAAATACTAGGAGAGGTTAATACCAAGAAAGGGATTTTTCAAGGAGACTGACTGTCACCAATAGAGTTTGTTGCTACATTAACTCCTCTGTTAACAATACTGAACAAGTCAGGCCATGGCTAACAAACATCAAAGAAATCTGCCAACCTACCCCACGTCCTTTGCATGGATATTAGGAAGCTGTATGGAAAAGCACCATCTGAAATAGAATTGCTGCTCAACATTGTCCCAATATATAGTCAAGATATTGCAATGGAGTTTGGACTAGACAAATGTGCCACCCTCACTATCAAATGAGGAAGAATAGTGAAATGTGAATGGAAATAACATCAAGAGTCTAGACCAGTGGTTCTCAACCTTTCTAATGCCGCGACCCCATAATACAGTTCCCCATGTTGTGGTGACCCCCAACCACTTATACATCACCGGGTGCCAGGAGCATGGCCAAAGAAAAGGGGGAAAAAATGGCGGACAGCCTTGTTTGGCGACCCCCGTGAAATGGTCGTTCGACCCCAAATGGGGTCCCAACCCACAGGTTGAGAACCACTGGTCTAGACGAAGAAGCTTAGTATAAATTCCTGGGCATCCATCAAGCTGGCAACAAGAACAGTGAAGTCAAGAAGAAAGTTAGAAGTGAATCTATCATGGCAGTGAAGAAGATCTTAAAGTCCAGACCCAGTAACGGAAATATCAACAAGGCAATTAACAGCTTCACAAGTCATTAGATACAGAGCTGGAACAGTGGACTAGACTCAAGCAGAACTAAAAGCCCTGGGTAGGATGATTAGAAAAATAATAACAATAAATCATTCCTTTCATTCTTACTTTACTTACCAAGGAAAACAAGGACGTGGAATGTTGCAAGTACACCAGATAGTTGAAGAAGAAAAAAAGGGCACTGGAAGACTATCTGAAGAACTATGAAGAAGATGCAATGAAGCTAGTACACCATAAAGCTTACTGAATACCGGCAAGAGCAAACTGCCTACAAAAAAGACCAAATGAAACGTAGAACAGAGACATGGCAAGGCAAAGTATTACACAGCCAGTACATTTAAAGATATAGCAGGTCAAGCAGGTTAACAACAAGACCTGGCAATGGCTAAGAGCAGGAAAGTTGCAGAAAAAGACTGGGGAGCTAATTCTGCCTGCACAAGGCCAAGCTTAAAGAACAAATGTATATAAACCCAGAATTGACAAGACAGCAACAGACAGCAAATGCGGTCCCAGCAAAGGAGCTGAAGAAACAGTGGACCATCTAATTAGCTGATGCAAGAACACTGCACAGACTGGCAATGAAGTAGATGTTCCAATGGTGTATTGGAAGATCTATAAAAAAATACCATTGCAAGTAAAAACTGGTGGGACCACAACACATACAAAGTAATAGAAAAATGAAGAAGCTATGGTGGTCTGAGACTTTAGAATTCAAACAGATAGGCACCTGCTAGATAACCCCTCAAACATATCAAATGTTGGTAAGAAAAACAAAAAAGTCTGAATACTTGATGTTGCAGTACTGGAGACAGCGGAATAGAAGAAGAACTTGAGAAAATCACAACATACAAAGATCTGCAAGTAGAAATAGAACAACCACAGCAAAAGAAAGCAAAGACAGTACCAACAGTAATAGGTGCCCTGGGTGCAATTCTAAAATATCTGGAACTCCACTTGAACACCATCAGCATTGACAAAATTACTACCATCAATTGCAACAGGCAACTTTACTTGTGGAACAGCTTCATCCTGTGGATGATACCTTTAACACTGTCAAACAACAATACCAGCCTATCCCAGATCCTTTGAAAGACTGAAAAAGTGGATTAAAATGCCAAATCCAGACTATCCATCTGGCTGGCTGGCTAGCCAATCATAATAATCTTATGAAAACAATATACTTTAATGTTAGGGTCTCTTTATTTTATGTTTATATTTGATTTCCTCTCTATTATCTGATGCTAATCAAAATATATAAGCAGCCATATAGATAAATGGGGCACATTCTATGGCCAGCGACAGAATGTACTATAATTAAATGGAGCACCAAAACACAAGCAACTGCCTGAATCTACTAAATTTCACAGTGGTTTTATTTTCCCTTCTACTGACTGGGAATAACCAAAAGCTTAAAAAAAAATACACCAGTTAGTAAGTGAAACATATTTCATTCCAAATGTTTAACATTTCTTTTTACAACATTCATTTTTAAGTATTAATAATTAAAAGTTAGCCATACCCCTTTTCCTCCCAAGTATAAATCTGTAGAATATAACAAAAAAAAAAACTTTTATTGTGTCTGACACTTGAGAAGGTATATTACAGATTTATTTATAGTCTCTGGAATTAAGCTAGTAGACTATCTTGGAATAATGATTATTTAAAAAAAATGTATGTGGAAATGAAACACATGTGCATGATATTGCCTTGCAAGAAATAATTATTTAAGCAAGGCTCATCAGAGAAATATTATTTGATCCTTTTTCTTCACTGAATATTTTCAGGCCACAATATTTGAATATAAATAGTAGCAAAATGAGAAAAAAATGTTTGAAATGAATCATGCTTTTTTTCAACTCAAAAGTTTTGAAAACTCAAAAATATGTTTAGATGTGGCTCTGAAATGGGCTTCTTAGAATATGTCTAAGATACTTGTTGTAACAAGGTAACCCACGTAAACTCAGGACAAAGAAATCTTATAACCTTTGCAAACATTGATATTTAATTTGCTTTGAGATAAACAACATAAATTCATCATGATGGTGTTAATATCAAAGCAAATGCCATTGTACAAATCGCATTGTGTCCTGTTGTCAGATCTTTAACAGTGGAATCTGCCAAACCATTATTGAAGACACCAGTTCGTCTGGCCGCTGCTGCTTGCATTTCTTATTCACCCTTCTGTGTCCTTGTCCTCCAGAGATGACCATGATGGATATCACCTTCCCCTCTCTGGATCTATGTCTTTTACTCTGGTCAGGGGAGACTTCTTTCAAAAGCTCATAGACAGCACTCTCTTCCGGCCGAGGTTCAGTTGTGTTGGATCCGTGAGACAACGTGAGTGACCCAGATGAGGAAGACAAGTCACTTTTCTGAGCAATGGATCCGACTGAGCCCCCCAACCAAATGGCATTGTCAGTGGGGTTGCTCAGAGAAGAAATAGGCCTTTCAGGTCCAACACCCTTTTGGTCATCCTCTTTCAGGCCTGAATGAGGACAATTCAGCCTGGACTTGGACCTCTTTTTGTTCTGCTTATTTGTCACAGAGGCCGTTACAAGGAACTTGATAGGGCCATTATGGGCATGATAAGATACCATGCCTCTTCCTGCAGTCAAATGAAAAAGGACACTCTCAGACACAACCATTTTCATGCAGCTTAATTCTTTTCACCAGCCGCTGGTTCTACAAAGCACTGAATAAAAATTGGCTAACTTGTAATATGCCTTTTGTATGTTGCTAGGTCAACATTCACTTCAGACTTCAGTTGTGAAACAGAATTTTCCACGTGAAAAAAATCTCAACAAGCAGAAAAACTGGCTCATGATAATAGCTGAAGCTCTAGCCTTCTGTGTGCATTTCTATTTGCAAAGCAAGCAGTATTAGAGCGGCAGAAGAACCTTGCAATTGAAAAACAGTACCTAATTCTACAAGGATTTATTTCTATGACCTCACCCTATTACATAAATAGATCAATAACTCACATTACATCACATTCTGACCCTTTCTTCCTGATTCTTGCTCAGGATTTATGCATGCAAACAGATTTAACACGTAGGTGTTCAATAGGAAATGAACATTGTGCCTTAATTCAGTGTTGTGAGTTAACATGAAGATGCCCATCACCTACCCCACCAGGAAGAAGAAAATGAGAACTTTAACAAGTTCCTGGTTTTTTTTTTCTCAATACCTAAATAAGGAACTGTGCTATAAAATAAACACTAATCAGTCATGAATAAGTCAAGCTCAAGTCTTCAATTCTTTTTGTGGTTTGCTTAGCAATATATTATTTGAAATTTATTCCTCCTACTATAGAAGGACAGAGCCAGGGGTGCTTAAGTCTGGTGTTTTGCAAGAGTGTCTTCAGACAGAGGTAAGTCAGAACCTACATCGGATTATGTACTGGCTCATCAGCTTAAAGTGTTGCTGTATCTACTACAAGGAGAAGACGTTCTTGATACTGAAACATTTATTTTGGGATGGTGCTCACTTGTTTTACACATTTTAAGGGTGTTATAACATAAATCATATTTTGGTATGCTGAACTGAATTATTAATTTTTATCATTATATTTAATTGAGCATGTTTTTAATTGGTTAAGATTCTTAAAATTGTAATCAAATTCTTTTTTCCCACTTTAAAAACAATGAAAATGCAGAATGTAAAGCTTATGAACATGGTTTATAATATTTAATTATAAAATCCACAGCTTAGTGTTATGTGTCATATAATCCAATGGAAATGTTTTCCAATACAAACTCTGGAAGTTACCATCTGTTTTTCAATGAGGCAAAGGTGAAATTGGCATTCAGTTCATGCTTTGTTCTCTTGTTTTTAAAGCAGCAGGAGCCAGGGAATCAGCTGACTGGTTTTATCTTAATTTTGCTTTTTCCACCATCCATTGCTGAAGACCTTGTTTTCAATAAAACTTATTCTACACTTACAACACATAATCATGTTAATACTAGCAACAGTGAAAGAGAGTAGGTCTCACTTTTTACTAACCATGTCAGATTAAAGCATGGAAAACTTGGGATCCCAACTGTTGGAACATTTCTGTCATGATTCATAGTATTAATTGCTATGATATCTGAAATGTGTTCTATAACAGAGGTCCCCAACCTTTTGGGCACCAGGGACCGGTTCCGTGGAGAGAGGTTTTTCCACGGACTGGAGGGTGCGTGGTTTCGTGTGCTGCCTGCATCCCATGGATGGGGCTTTGCTTGTTTGTGCAGACCGGTTGCTGGCATGCCACGGACTGGTACTGGTCCATGGACCAGGGGTTGGGGACCCCTGTTCTATAAGACATTTGGCAAACAATATCTTTATCTGTTCACCTATGGAGTGTTGAAAACAACTGATCAGTATAATGATATATTTATCAAATACAAACTGTTTTGGGGGAAGCAAGGTAACACCATAGCAATGCATTTGTTTTATAAGGCGTATGCAAATTTTTAAAGAATCCTCAGGAGAGTGAGTATTCCTGGTTACCGAATGCCCTCTATGTATCATGACTAATAGATTGACAATGTGTTTTAATTTTATCACAGGCGTTTAAACACTCCTTGGCCTTTTTATAAAAGAACATTAAATTAGTTGTGCATACATTCATCTCCCATACTAAAGAGATTTTTGCCTTAGGTGTAATAGCTTTGGGTGGGCAGAAGAATGCCAATACAGAGCTGCCCGTCAATAGACCATGTTTGCTACATAGCTGTGGTGAACCTTCAGTGGCTTAGTCTTTTAACAAGAGAATAAAAAAAGAAAGGTAAGAGTTAAAGTTTGCAAATGTCCTTTAAGTTAAAAAAAAGGGGGGGGAGGGAGAAACAAGATGCTAAGATTACAGCAAAATTTCTTTTGCCAACATTTTTGATATGAGCCTTCCTTTACCTCAGGGGTCCCCAACCCCCAGTCCGTGGCATGCCAGCAACTGGTCCACACAAATAAGCAAAGCCCCATCCGTGGGATGCAGGCAGCATACAAAACCATGCACTCTCTGGTCTGTGGAAAAACCTTTCTGCACAGAACTGGTCCTGGTGCCCAAAAGGTTGGGGACCTCTGCTTTATTTGAAAGCGGCACCTTTGATGAATCACTACAATTTTTTGTACTGATAACAGTTTTCTTTTTACTTACAGTGTGAATATTATACTCACCAGTTACTTTGGGGATTCCCTGCAAGCGAGGAACTGGGAGTGCTACTATAATCCCAACATTCGTTCCAACCAGTAGTAGACCATGGCATACTAAGAGGCTAGTCACTGAAACACGCTGCTGTCCTGCAAGATGCAGAGAATATTACATTACTCCCAAACCAGGTTTTTTTTTGCTGTTTACGGTTGCACTGTACAGGCATTATTTAATGAAATCATGTTCTCTTACATATTTAAAAATGTTATTGTGATTTTATCAGTTTTCTAAGCATATAATAAATCATATAAGACAAGGGTCATGTAGCCAAGCAATAACCTATTCATTTATTTCAGTTTCTATCTGCAGTTCTCCTGTGTTTTTGAAACACCCATGAATTCACTGCTGTCAGACACTGTTGCCACTGCCAGCTATTCCTTTGCAGTTATTTTCAATTTATCTTGCAATCCTTTTCCCTTTACAAATTGTGCAGGCCTGCTGTTGAGGGTCAACCCCCCACTCTTCTACTTGGACTTTTTTAAAAAAATACTTAGTATCAACACAAAATAGTGAAGAGTACATTGGCACAGTGTAATGAATCGAGTATGCTAATGTTCAGTATATATTAGCTAACATATGAATCATAGCATGATTCCACCACATTTTTAAAATTATCCCAAGTTGACATGTAGGTAAGTGCCTTCAATTTAACTTACTGGTGAAATTATTAATTTAGGGAACTATACACAAATATCTAGCAGATTATATAATCCATTTATAAATGGTTAACTAGCAATCCTGTATTCATTTACATGGTGGTACTGCATTCCACCAGAATCATTTCTGAACTGATACATAAGATGAGATTTATATCTAAAGGTTATGTCTAGAGGTAATCCAGAAATTTAGCAGATTAATGGAGCAAAAGATATCCATTAAAACAGAATGGCCATTAAATCCAAATGGCTTTTTGTGCATGGATATTTTATATATTTACCCATATTCAAAATGGCATTTTATTCATGTACAAAAATAATACAGGGTACAACCAAATTTTGTCCAGTGCATCCAAAATGTCTACTTTAACTTATACCTGAATTTCAGAATCCTGATAATCTAATATTATTTTAAACATATGTTAACTCTGTTAACTGAAAGACCACTGAGTTATCTTTTAGAAAATTCACAAAAAGGCAGTTTTAAGACAATGGCTATCCCAGTTCCAAGGAGGAATGAATAAAAATCTCACATTGTACAACAAAACTGTATGGATAAAAAGACTTGTGCTTTTAAACAAATCAAATTATTTTTAAACTTTCTTCAAAGATTCTTAAAAAGCATTGGAGCCACATAAAATAAACTATTTTTTTTTTCTTGTTTCTCCTTTACTTACAAATTGAACCTCTTTGAGGTAATTTTGTGGAATTAAAGGGTTTGGTTTTACTCTTAAAAATTTGGGCAGCAATCTGGAAATTCTGGAAACGGCTGATCTGACATATTTAGGTTGCTCAGGGCTGGAGAAAACTAATTCATGACATGAAGTATGAACTAGACATATCATTCTGTGCTTAAAGGAAATCACTGATGACCCTAAGGACTGATGCTGAAATTAACTATCAAATATTCATAAAAAGGAAAGTCGCTTGTTTGGGAAGTGGAATTCCAGAGTGTTCCATCAGAACTGGGCAGAGGGGCCTTGAATGAAACATGAATGATGCCAGAAGGTAAATAAATAGCACCAAATGATCCCAGCTCCAGTATGTAACTCAAAAATCCCACCCTATTTTTATCCATGGAAAAAATCCCTTAGGCAGAAAACTGAGCAGACCTACTGTTTTATTTGCAAGAAAATATAAACTAAAGAGGCATGTAAATATAAATTCAAGACCCTCAAAACTGTACTTTGAAATCAGTGTGTTCCCAATTTATGTATAAATCAGGCAGTGGTGGGATTCAGCCAGTTCGCACCAGTTTGGCAGAACCGGTAGCTAATTTTTTGTTGCCCAGGCCCAGAATGGACTTCCGGAAGTGGCATCCACACAGAGAACCGTTTGTTCACATATTTGAATCCCACCACTGAAACCAAGTATATTCAATTTCCAGACAACCAGTGATATTAAGAAAAGAACAATAATCAAACATGATCTACAAAAATGTCTTCATAATGGTTACCGTATATGGTGTGAATCACTATACTGTGGTCCTTAATTTCAATGTTTAGATGATTTACCATATATTCCGGCGTATAGGGCGACCCGGCATATAAGACGACCCCCTAGTTTAACGTCGGGTCGCAAGACGACGCCGAGTCGCAAGACGATTGACGCCAAGTCGCATGCCTAGAAAGTCATCTTATATGCTGGAAACTACGTTATTTCCGGCGTATAAGATGATCGATGCCGAGTCGCATGCCTAGAAAGTCATCTTATATGCCAGAAACTACTTTATTTCCAGCATATAAGATGACCCCTGAGTTTGGAGGCTGTTTCGACACTCTCAAAAGTCGTCTTATATGCCGGAATATACGGTAATCATTTTTATTTAATTTCAAAAAAACATGTATAAAAAGTAAACAAGCAAGAAAAATGGAAGAAGGAAAGAAAAAAATCAGACAAGAAGCAAGCTTAGACAATTTAAATAAAAAAGGTGAATGAATCTCTTGTTAAATCTGCACATCTGAGAGATTTTAGACATCAGTTCAGTGTAAAATATAAAAGTGTCTACTATTTGTTCTTGTTTTGCACATTTGCAGAACAATGAGACCGGGGAGAGGGATTTTAATCTTCTCTCTCCACAGAGGATATGCACGCATATTGTGTTCATTTTAAATGCATTGCCTATTACAAAAAATACTTCACAGAGCATTTTCACTCCAAAATGATTGAAAATACCTGAATATCCTGTTGTGTAATTCTGATCTGCATTATTTTGGTGACATTAACATCAAGGGGATGAAGGGAGGAAAACTCAAGGCCTGTCCTTATCCCAGGATCTACAAAAATGTCTAACTGGTGGCTCATGCTAGTTAAATAACATTGTTTCCACATGTGAAAACTGCTAACAATTATCCTGCATGCTCACATTTTGAAGGCAGAAGACCAACTTTGGAATAAACAATTCAAAGTGCAATCAAACGGAAATCCCCTGCTTTTAAAGTGATGGAACAGTTGGGAAGCACCTGTTTGAGAACATGAACTTCTGAAACACATAATTAATATAAGATGGCAAATGCATTAGGTTTATTTGTGTGCACTGTTCCAGATTAAGTACAGAAGAGTGGAATGGCAACAGCTTTGTGCTTTTCCAATTGTTTTAATTCTCAGGAGTGGCTGCAAATCAGTTCAGTTTATCAATACTTCCAGTGAATATTTTTGGGATAAATTAATCCTACCTTGATCTCAAATAGATACAATTTGGAATAAAACATTTCAGGGATTACATTGGGTTAAATTTAAATAGTATAACAACCTTTTTAGTATGCATACACCTCCTGTAATGCAAAGTATTTTAATGAGGCAAATAGTGTACAATATTAAAATATTTTTAATATCATGTAAAATTCAACAAAAAAGTAAAATAGAAGCAGATTCTAAACTATAATCATTGGCCATAAATAGTGAGCTAGTCATGACCATTCATTATAGTTTAAAATCTGTACCATAATAAGATGGTTTTGACCCCATAAGTCTGTTAATATAAAGATGGCTTTAGTCCAAAAGTCCAATTGAATTTTTCACATTTCTGAAAAAATAATAATTATGATACTGAACAACTATTTAAAATGAATTCCAAGCTGATCTTGGCTACTGCATTTTCAATAACATAACTCAAGTACTTTATATACTACAAATACACTATGTTCTCAATCATTATAACATAAAACAGAAACAAGATTTATGTAAGATGTTCCAATAAACTGGCAGAGCTCAAATTTGAGCAGAGACTTTCCAAATTCATAGGTCCCTATGCTATATTTATTATAAATATGCTAGTGTAGTTGGAATGAGGAAGATCGTTATTTCAAGGAGTTTAGTGACAAATTTAGTGGTAGGAAGCGTTATGTTTTTCCATTTGCCATCAAGCAATATATGTCATACTACTAGATTAAAAAATCACATAGGTGAGCATGATATGAGTGGGACAAATTAAAAACATCTTTAGATTCAGCAGAATTCTTCAGGACAAATCTTGTTTCTTATGAATTTCACATATAAAAAAGAAAAAAAATGAAATTTAGAATAAAATTCAAGATAGTTTAATTCAAGTTATAACATTTGTATGTAACCTGGACATTATTTTTGTCTTCCGTCCTATATCTGAGGAGGGTACATCAAACTAATAATCTTGTCGTGGCCAGAGTATACATCATAGCATAATGCTATGGAAATCTTCAAAGGGGTGTTTCAGTTTGATGAAGGCTCAAGTAATGCAGGCTTTTGAAGCTGCTCCTTCACAATACATGACCTCTTTGAGCCTGGTGGCTCAGTACTTAGAAGGCAGTATTGCAGGCTAACTCTGGCCACCACCAGGAGTTCGATCTTGACTGGCTCAAGGCTGACTCGGCCTTCCATCCTTCCCAAGTCTGTAAAATGAGGACCCAGATTGCTGGGGGCCAATATGCTGATATTTGTAAACTGCTTAGAGAGAGCTGTAAAGCACTATGAAGCAGTATGTAAGTCTAAATGCTGTTGCTATTGAGTCTAAGAGCAAAGCAAAGTGTATGTTGTGTCTTTAACAAATGTTGCAGGAAATACTACGGTGCATCCTGGAACACCCTCAGTATATGCCTAAAGTCTTCCATGCCAGATAGTTTCAATGCATTCTGCACCTCAGAACATGTACCGATGGGTACCAACATAAAAGCACTTTGGCCAGTCCTAGACTAGAGAATAAAGGCTGAGAAGAGTCTTGTCTTGCAGCACTGGCTGAAGCAGTGCAAAGGTGCTGTGAATTGCTTTGTCCCAGGGAATTACACCGTTTCTTTGTCTGAAGAAGAGAATCCTCCACAACAGTTATCTTTTTATTGAAACGAATCTAGGTTTATTGCAGAGTCATCTCTTTCTCATAGGACTGGACTTAGGATGTTTACAAAACGGAAGTGCTCCCATTGTTCTAATTATTTATTGAGCTTTAAGTTTTTTTCCTCAGCAGCTATAAATATAAATATAGCTGAACAAGCTGGACCACTTGCTAGAACGTTTCCAGGTTATACCTGAAGTGGCTTAAAATATCCAGTCTACTTCTGGATAACAATTTAAGGTGGTGGCTTTGTCCTTTAAAGATTTTCTTGGCAAGGGGCTGGGTTACAGATAGTCCTTGACTTACAACCAGTCGCTTAGTAACCTTTTGAAGTTATGATAGACCTCCCCCCCCCCCCAAAAAAAAACCCTTGCATTCCCATTATGCAATGTCGGCACTCCACTCCAAATTAAAAAGAAATGTATCTGAAACATACAGATTATCAAGGTAAATCTCTCAAGATAAAAGCATTCTTGCATAAGGATCCACATATCATGAGATTATAGTCATATATTTTGGATGCCTGAAATCATTATTTGTGGAACATGCAGGTGTATGTATATTACACTCTTCTGTATTGACAAACTCTGAATGACCATCTCAACGCAACACATAACCAATTAAAATATCAATCAAATCACTTTACCATTGAAAAATTAAAAGTTAAAACATCACAACTGGCTCACACTCCAGATACATAAGCACAGAGAGCACACAGCATTTAAAACATGCCAACATTGGCACCTGTTATGAACTTTTTTGGGATGAGAAATCATTTCAGTAAGTTGACATATGATTATTTACAAGATGAGCAAGTTGTGGGTGTGATTTACAAACTGAAATGTATGTTTTAGATGAATGCACAGTATGTTCCCTTCTTTCATGTTTTCCATAAAAAGTAACAGATAGATAGATTGATTTCATCTTAGGAGCAGGAATGATCTGAAAGTGTATTTTATTTAAAGGTGCTCAAATTGCATGTTATCATTTAAGAATGACTTTTCTTAGCACATCTTTAGATGATGATCCTGCTGTGCCTGTGTAAATTAATGAAATCTGGATTATATTTATGTGTTCCTTGTTTTTAAAATATAAGAGGGTAACTAGTAGCAAGGTGGATGGATTCAGTTACAGTGACAATAAATGCACCATTGGAAGTCTTGAAAGACCAGGTTAGAGGCAGCTTGTCATGGATAAAATCTCTCTACGTGGCCACTAAGAGTCAGCATTAAAGGCATATAAACATTCATAACCAATGATCAAAACTGCCTTTAGCAGATCCTACTATAATGTAATTTTTCCTTATGGTATAACCAATATTAGAATGATGAAAACAAAGCTTAATGGTATAGTGTAGTCCTCATCTTATAAACATTCATTTAGTGACCATTTAGGAATGATGGTGCTGAATGAAGGGTAGTTATGACCGGCCTTTGGAGTTCCAACTACCCCAGAACCCCTGCAGTCACATGATCGCAATCTGGAGGTTTGGCAACTGGCTTGTACTTACAACCGGTTGCAGCACTCTGTGATCATGTGATTGCTGCTTGTGACCTTCCCTTGCTGGCTTCCTCAGAAAGTCAATGAGGTAGCTGGCTTGGAAGGTCACAAGTCAATAGGGAAAGTCTCCCCTACCCATACATCCTCCCTCAGCCTCTCTGGGCTCATGTCATGCTGGCCACTCATGTACCCCTGCATACCCTCCCCAAGCCTTTCCGCACCTCTCTCACACCCTCACACTCTCTTGACCCTCCATGTGCTCCCTTGCTGCACTTCCCTTGCAATTCTGCATATCCTTCCAAACCTTGTCATGCCCCCTCTGCCCCCTAGTGCACTCTCACACACCTTCCTCAAGCCTTACACCTCCCTTACATCTTTGCCACATCTCTCTTGCACATCTCTCTTGACACCAGGGGTGTCAAACTCAATTTCATTGAGGGCCGCATCAGCATTGCGGTTGCCCTCGGGGGGGCTGGGTGGGTATGGCCAGGGTGGGTGCAGCCTACTGGGTGGGCGTGGATGGAGTGGGTGTGGCCTACTGGGTGGGCATGGCCGGCTCTACATCGTTCGCGTCAAGGGTGCCTGTGGGGGCCTGGGCAGGAGTGGGACAGATCTGAGGGTCTCTGGCAGAAGGGGGTGGGACCGGGGCAAGCACCAAGGCATGGTCCATTTCTTCATTCCTCACAAAGGGTAACACCTCCCCAGCAGGGGGCAGGGCCGACACGACAGGGGCTGGTTCCTCGCTGTTTCCAGACAGCCTTGTGGAGCTGAATGCGTTTCAGCATAGATGGTCACCACAAAACTGTATATTGGCTCCCGGCCGGTCTGGGCCAGGGCAGTGGGGGCCGTTCCCTCACTGTTTCCAGGATGGCTTCGCAGGCCACATCCAGCCCCCGGGCCTTGTGTTTGACATGTCTGTCTTACACTCTTCCTAAGCCTTGCTATGCTTCTCTTGCATCCTTGTGCATCCCCTCACACCCTCCCCAAACTTTGTTGTGCCTCTCAAATGCCCTCACATATCCCCATGCATCCTCCTGCACTACCCCAATTCTTGCAACATCTCCCTCCCACCTGGCAGTAGCCAGGTACCTATCTGCCGGCCTGTTTGCAAGCTACCAGAGACTTCCTGCCCGCTTCCCCACTGACTTGGTTGTGGGAAGCTGGAGGGAAGTCGCCTTGCCTTATGATTATAAGGTTTGGTTAACAACGGCAAGCAGGACTACAGGAATTGCCACTGCTGTATTCACACTTTAAAACTACTACATAAATTCCAGTCCCAATTACCATTGTTAAGTCAAGGATTACCTGTAGTTGGTGAGAATTACAGAATTAAGAAACTTAATTCTAAAATTAAGATTTAACTAGAGATTACATATCTAGTTCCAGATGTTTTGGAAGTAAAAAAGAACTTACCATGACTTTTGGAGCCAACTATAGCAATGAAGAATTCATGCAATCTAAACCTTCTTGCCTGCCTGTTCATATATAAGAAGGGACTACAGAAGGGTGTCTTCAGACATAACATTTAAATGCTGAGCAGTTTTTTTTACAATAGCTTTTGTGCCTTCTTCTAATCTAGTGATTTTTAAATAATGGTCCAGAGAATGTATCTACAACTAGCAATGCCTACCTAGCAACAGCTTGCTTTCTGCATGTTCAGTATAGTTACAGAAAGTAGACTTGCTTTTTAATTTTGGAAACAGATGCTTATGGGTATAAGTGTGCTACATTCTACTCTTTAGAAGGAAACCTCTCCATACCAAAGTAGTTTGAACCAGAAAAAAATGAGCAAGTGAAATATATAGCAATACAGTCATGAGTGTTAATGCGTTAAAAAGCACACTCCTTTTATTCTCTTCCTTACTTTCTGCTTTCCAGAAGTCTATTACCTACGGATCAATGCATTTGCTGTTTTGTTTTCAACTTTTTCTAGCTTTTACTATGTCACAAGAACATTTAAACAAATCCCCCTTTTTCTTGTTCCACGTCAAATCAATTTAAGTTACAACTTAATCTTTGTTACTTTGAACAAAAAACTCTATTGCAACTGTTACATGAATTGTGGGTGGGAGTACATTTCAGATAAAATAGAAGCAGCTGAAGCATAATTGTAATGGTGTGTGTGTGTTTATCTCAAGTTCTTCAGCAGGAAAACATAGTTTACATTTCTCTTCTTGTCTTTCTGTGGCAGTAATAGCTAAGATTAGATATTTTCCGAATAGCCATTTTAAAAAAAACATGCAGGAATACCTATCTGTAAACCACACACAGGCAGTTTACCAGCAAAATACTCAATCCTCTTAGCACGGTGACAACAGACTGAAAAATACTCTCCTGAGAATACATAAACAAGTGGCTGATTTATGTGCTTATTGGGTAGCCCCAAAGTTAAGGGCTTTTAAAAATAGCGGAAGAGGAGATAATGTACAGTTAATAAAATTACTAATAGAATTTTAAAGAACTGGCAATAGATAGGTTCTCTAAAAGAGAGCAGATAACTTACATTTAGGTCACACGTGTTCCTAAGCCTGATTGAGGGTGGGATAAACTTTGTAAACATGCAGGTTAACTTTGGAGACTGTCTGGAGGAAACCCCGGCAGTTTTCTTGGAAAGATTTTCAAAGATGATCTGCCCTTGCTTTTTTCTTAGGGCTGAGAAAGAATGACTGAGCAGATTAGAACTCAAAGTCTCTCAGTTTCCAGCCTGATGCCTTAACGACTAAGCCAAACTCTTTCCCTCTGATTTTCTATCTTACTATATTTTTCATCCAGTAGTTTTTCAGAATTACGTTAAGGCTTGTCTTAAGGTTTCCATTCAGATCAATGTTATGAGTAAAAGACAAGTCACATTTGTGAATGATAGCAAACCTGGATTATTAGGTGACTTCCATAAGTTTTGGAATTAAGTGCCAATGGTGGGGCAGCAGGCTGTACAACCTCAGATTTAAACCTTCAGTTTTAACATCATGCCCACAAAGCAAGAGTTGTTCAAACAAACAATCTGGTAATGAATAGATAAAGAATGGTACCTGATAACATATTGTGAGCAAGAGTAGCCACATTAACATCCTGGAGATGTTTAAGGGTTTCAGTGTGGAAAAGACGGAGAGTAGATCCCGATGTGAAGGCAATCCAGATCCCCACTCCTGCAACAGCCATATGAGAGATCACCATCCCTTCCTCTTGATGAGCTTCAAAATGGCACTGGATAATAGACAGAGTCCATTAAAAAAGCATTCAGTAGGAACAGCTATACCAATAACCTATATTTATTTGTTTTCACACAAACAACTGTGGACCTGTTGTGAAGGGCACCATGAATTAAACATTACCTTGCCTTCTAACAAGGCTGAATTGAAAAAAAGAGATGGCCACAAGGACATCCAAATGCTTATCATGCAGTACTTAATACAAAAAGAACAATGATGCAGACATTCAGTTATTCCTCAGAGCCAGAACCATATATAAAACCGGTAGTAGTTCCCTGCTAAAGAAAGGAAATGATAACAATTTTCACTAATGGCATACAGAACATAATATTATAATTGAGATCCAAGCTCCACCAATTTAACAGAATAAAACAGTTGGAAGGGACCTTGGAGTCTTCTAATCTAATCTCCTGCTCAAGCAGGAGACTCTAGACCATTTCAGACAAATGGTTGTCCAATCCCTTCTTTAAAACCTCCAGTGATAAAGGCCCACAACTTCTGGAGGCAAGTCATTCCACTGATTAATTTTTCTAACTGTAAGGAAATTTCTCCTTAGTTCTAGATTGCTTCTCTGCTTGATTAGTTTCCATCCATTGCTTCTTGTCCTGCCTTCAAGTGCTTTGGAGCATAGCTTGACTGCCTCTTCTTTGTGGCAACCCCTGATATATTGGAACACTGCTATCGTGTCACCCCTAGTCCTTCTCTTCATTAAACTAGACGTATCCAATTTACCATGTGTATATGTCAACTTGAACCCGTGGATCAAAGCAATGAATCTGCCATTTTTAAAATGATGATCCTCCTCCCTCCACTATGGAGACTTATGGCTCTTAATATCTCTTTCTCATAGTATTCCAAAGAATACCCCGGCCTTCTGGAAAAGGAAGTTAAGAGGGCAGAAATTGGCAAATGTTGCTTTCCCATTATCTTCTCTTGGCATACAATGAACTTTCCTCACTGATTCAACTCAGAATCTCCTTTCTAGAAGTTTTTATACTTAGACATCATGTCAAAGCAAGTGCAGTAGGATTTGGATGTGGTTCCCCATACGTCTCATAAACAATAACCAGTGGCCACCACAATGAGCATCAATGGAAGGTATAATTAAAACATTTGGTGCGTAGCACGTGGCTAAAAACATAAGGAAAGAGAGGAGAAGGTAGTTAGTAACTGTATATTATCCATGAAGCAATGTGAGTGCAACATTGCATTAAGCCTAATAGCTTCACCATAAAGTTGGGAGGATAAAATAGATTGGGCAGAATAAAATTAGGGCAGAATGAAACTAATTGGCAAAGATAGAAATAAAATACAGTAAATTAAGTGGCTGATTTTCCCCCGATAAATTTAGAGTATAGTATTTTCTCAATTACTAACTCACTGTTGTAAGTGAGTGCATATGAATTATTAACAATGGATCATGTAATGTTTTTAAGAGTCAGATCATAACAAAAAGTAATGTAATAAATAGCAATTAAACTCTAAAACATGCATCCAAAAATGATACTTGTGGGACATCTTACTTTAACTGAACTGCAATCCAGATTTTCTTGTTCCATATTTCTAGCATGATATTCAAATTGTAAATTGGCAGCCAGAATATATGTTGGCATCCAGATCTTACAAAAATATTTTACATATTTTTTTCAGAGTCTTTACTATGAAGGTATGTATTTAAAGTGGTTAAAAGATGTAAAGCAATTTCAATTATGAGTTGGGATAGCTATCCAACTCCCAAACCTTTTCTGCCCCAAAGTCCTTCAGAGACAGCTATCTGCCTCCAAAACATTGCAAAAATTCAGAGCATCTTTAAATATCTCCATTTGCAATGATTGTGGCAATACTGAGAATAAGTCATTCACAAATACTGTTATTCTAAGAGACAGAAATCTTTTTATAAAAATGGAATCAATAAAATCAATAAAAACCCCAAAACAACACTCATGATTTACAGTATCTGTGTAGTTTATGCTTATCTGAAAAAAAATAGTGAACTTCTTATTAAAGGGAATAATCAAATATTCCAGTGAATATTAAAATACACACCATAAAGCTTCCAGTAATTTTCTGAAGAAAAAAATAAAAACAAAACAGCTGTGATTCCTCTGCTTCAAATCTATGGAAACAGATGGTACCACCCAAGTAACAAGACAAGTTGAGTGACAGCCAAGAAAAGCTACATTAATCTTGTCAAATCATTCACATTAATTATTAAACCATTTTTAAAAACCTAAATGATAAAAGGTAATTAATTAACCTGTTTCTTTATTGAACTCCCTATGTCAAAACTATTTAAGGTAAGTAAAAATAAGGTGCATAGGGGGAAAAGGGTGCTGTTAAGGATACATCATTAAAAGTGAGTTATTTCTGGATGAGTGGTTGCTGTGAGAAATTACTATGTGGTAGTGTGCAACATTATTGTGTTCTTCATGACATATTACAGGTTAAGAGAACATTAATATTACATATTAATATTAACATTAATATTAAAACGTTTCAAAGCTTATCGGTCAAGGAGACAAAAGTTTCTTGGGGTCCTCAAAAGATAATGTTTATTCTAAGTTAAAATGCTAAAGAAGCGTTAAAGCACTGGATTAAAGAACTGACTCAAATCAAGGATTTGAGTATTTGTTTTCTTTGGAGAACAATACAGATTCCTGCCAGCCTTATAAACCAATTTATGAAGGCGATGATTTTTCATCTACCAATACAGTTGGTATTAGCAGCCAGGAAACTCACCTGCTTTGAGAAAGATTTCTGACTCTATCCCTTAGATAAGTAATGAAAATTTTAAAGATAATTTAAATATATTTGAGGATCATTTAAATTGTCTGGGGACAAATACCTGCTCATAAAAAAAGCTCTGTGCCAACCAACATGTTGACTTCAGCTAGAATGAAACACACAAACACAAACACACACAGACACACACACACATTTAGCACTTCCACATGTTATTTGTAGTGAAAATAATGTTACAATTGCAATAAGAAGGCAGTGAATAAAACAGGGCATTAGTTATGCAACTACTAACTGACAGGCCATCCCAGCAGCAATAGAAACTGAAGAAAGGGCTGGTTTTAAAAGGGCGTGTTTGTGAGCGAAGAGGAAATTGACCCTTAGGTCATAAAGTTTACCTACAGGTCAGCTTTGTTCATAGACCACCTTCCTTTTGGTCTCACAGCTGTTCAGTCACTTTCCTTTTCCTGTGCTCCACAAGTACACCCTTTTAAAATCAGCCCTTTCTTCTGTTTCTATTGCTGCTGGCATGGCCTGTCATGTTGCACAACTAGCGCCCTGTCTTATTCACTGCCTTCTTATTGCAACTGCGACATTATTTTCACCACGAATAACATATGTGGAAGTGCTGAAGTTCTAAAGAGGAAAGCTAATTGAAGTGTCAACAGTAGTTAAAAAAACTGATAGGAAATAGGAGCCTCGTTACAATAACAAAATGTGGAAGGAAAAATAAAAGGGTTCCTATCTGAATAAATAATACCAATAACAATAATATTTAGTTTAAATGCTTGCAATTTTCATGTTTGCTTTAAACATCAAGGATTTGTAACTTAAAATTTAAGACAACTATCTTAAACTCTGTATCATAAAGCAAAAACATTTTCAGTCTCATATTAAGACGATTTCACATATTATGGTTCATGTATTCACTTTTGCACTGAAAAACTTCAAGCTGAGCGAGGGCAGATGTGTCCACACAAATATTCCCTAATGCCCCTGTAAATGTATGCCTGATGATCTGTACAAGGCATAAAACTTTCCTAACTATAGCAATTGTACAGGCAGAAATTAAGTAGATCCAAGGTTATCTTATAAACAGAGATATAGTAAAGTCATCTGCCTACAGATTCATACAATACACAAACAATATATCTATTAGGAAAAATATTTACAAGAAGGCAGAAAAAAAAATACAGCACAGCAATACCATTCTACCATCAGAGATGTTCCCAAGGCTATGCTTTTTGCAAATCAGCATAGCAGAAGTACAGATGGAAAAAATGTTCCTATTTCTCTATTATCTTGCTACAATTAGTTCTTTTCCTAATAATCCAGTTAAAAACTGGACTATTTTTCTCTCTCTGTCTCTAGGGAGCAACCAACAGTGTAATTTTCTTCTTAACTAGAGGCTCTGAAGTCATCTTTATGATCAGTTCTACAATGTTTATTGATCTTACAGTAGTATGTCATCCACACAAATGTACTTGTATTTTTATGAAGGAGACTAATATGTTGACATTATTTTTTTCTATGGGGGAGATTATTAGCCAAACACTTTAAATTTTTGAGATTTCTAAAAGGATATTTTCTCATCTAACATCTGCAAATTGAAGAACTCGTTGAAAGGATCATGAATCAGTTGTTCCAATTTTTCCTTGTTGCTGCAATCCCTACTGTCACTTTTCATGCTCTGCTGAAAGAAGGGTAAATTTACTACCCAAGTAGTAAAATCAACATTTTATGTGCTTCACATTTCAGCTAAAAGTTTTTTTAGCCTGGCTCTTAGTCATTCCTGAATACATACATACACATTGGAATGAATGACCTCAGGCAATAGCACATACATCCACGCAATGCTCTAGAGGAATCTGTGACCTCTCCTAACCCCAGAGCATGGTGATCCGCTATAATCTAACATAACTCTTTCTAACACAGCTCTTTCATAGTGTGCCTTACACTTCTGTCCTGCAAGAATTAGCCCATTAATTGAATTGAAACTGACAGAAATTACATCACAACACTGAAGAAGCCTAGAGCGAAATTTAAAAAAAAATGAGAAACATTCTGCACAATAATAAACGAATCTATTTTAACTCTTTCATAAATTAATATGACTGTGAAGTCTTTTCATTCATCTTCCAATTCATCATTTTTAACCCATGCAACCTCTCTCGTTCTTTATCAGACACAGAACATCTAGAACCACCCTGTTTCTCATGCAAGGGAAATGTAATCATTTTGCTTGCTGATGTTTGGGTGAGAGTCTCTTTCTCCTCTTGCGCACACAAACAGCCATATACTCCTCCAGTTGTTTCTCTGTCTTTTACACAGACCATGATAAACCATTTATAGTTGTTGCTATGCCCCCAAGACATTTCTCTGCAAAACGAAGCAGCCCTAGAATTAAAGCTAGCTTGGTCCATAATTCCATGCTAAAGTCTTCCCCTTCCTTCAGACTAAAGAGCCTGGTGTTTTTCTTTTCCTCAAGCTCTATGGCAACCTTAAGAGTTCCAGCACACATTTTCATGGCTACAGCCAATTCTTTCATCCCAGTGGCGCCTGAGAGGACCACTTTTTTTTTTTTTTTGATACAACAAGACGTTGCATAGTTTGCATCTTTTGCTTCCCTCCATTTATACACAGCACAAAATCCTTTGTGATTCTCAGCCTAAAGAGCTCTGCCAAGGACTGCAGAAGGCTTTCCCAAGCATAGCACGTTCTGTATAATGGGCCTCATTGTTCACGGAAAGTGAAGGGATTTTACTGTGTTTAAGAAGTGGTCGTGTTTATATATGCTATTAAGGGAAATATGAGAGTATTTTCATTTATCTGGCGTATTTCAGGCTTGTTTTTGGAAAATTTAAATTACAAATTATAATCTTTCATTGTTATAATTATATGTAATTATTGAGGGGGAAATGTATAATTATTGTTAAGAGGGAAAACTAGCAAGCGCATGTGAAGGCTACAACAAGAATGACAGGCAGGAAAGCACAGATAGTGGAACAGGTGCCTTGAATCCAGGACTGTTGCAAACTCTCATTTTGAACAACCCTACTCTGGAAAGAAACATTATAATAAATTGTAAAGATGATTATTATTAATAATAAACTGGCTGTACGGGTCCCAGTGGTTATTGGAACACTGGATGCCCTATCAAAAAACCTTAAGTAGCATTTAGGAAACCTGTGCATTGACAAAATTTCCATTTGCCAGTAACAAAAGGCCATACTGCCTGATCTGCACATATATTATGTTGATACATTACGCCATGCTAGGTTTTTGAGAACTCAGTGCAAATGAAAGCTGGCATCAGCTATGGAACTGGCAGCTGTGATTTCACATTATGTATAATAATACATTTTTATCTATCCATCTATTGCCAAATCAAGCTAGCAAATATACCTAACCCTCCTGCCTCTTTTCCCAACAACAATCCTGTGGGGTGAGGTGGGTTTACAGAGAGGAACGAGCTGAAGTAGCCCAACCAGACTCCTAGTTTCTAGGCCAGCACATTCACCAATACACCAGCACTTATATCCTGCTTTCCTTGCGTAGACCCTTTTAGAAAAAGCATTGCAAACCTGATGCTAACGCATTACCAAGCCTTTTGGATTTACTCTGGGAGATCTTATAGTAGTTACAGAGAAGATAATTTCTCTTGTGGAATAAATAGTGATAGGACACATCCTTGTCCCTTTCCTCTGTTGCCAACATATATATTATCTTGGCATTCTCATGAATGCTGTTTCAGCTCCAGTGGAACTAGAGACTGCCACATGTCTGTGCTAGCTCTGTTTGAGGCAAAGGCTTCAGAAAATTTCCCTTCCAGCCAAGGGTGATGTTTATAAAAGCTGCAATATATTTCAATCATTCCTAAAATGTAACATTATTTCTAGCTAAACACATACCCCGTAACCACTGAAACAAGTAGTATCACTGTGGTTGGCATGAAGCTTAGAACAAAAATATTTTCAAGTGGAGCTGACCTCAGCTTGAATCTGGGATTCCAGGAAGAGTCCAAGCATCAAAACATAAACAGCAAGAAAGGAACAGTGGGTAGGAAGCAACAGCAATGAAATGCAATCTGCCAAACAATTTGTTCTTATGCCTTGAAAATACTGAATATGTGAAAAAGATTCAACTGTGCCTAAGGGCTTTATTTTGTGCTTGCAAGCACAAAGTATTGCCAAATTTAAGCAGCAACATGACTGCAATTATGTTAGAAAGGGGGTGGTGGTGGATAATAATAGGAGGGAGAATGGTGTGAACATCTTGGTGGCTGTCCCACCAATGTGGAATAGTTTAACTTCAGAGTTGAGGATGTATCCCATACTGTCCTTTTTTCCTTTGAAAAATGGCAGATAGTTTCATTTTGCTGCTCCAGTGGGCTGCTTTCTTCCTGATTTTTTTTTCATTTTATATTCCATGTTTTACCCTTTATGAAGATTACAAAACCTAGAGCAGTGGTTCTCAACCTGTGGGTCAGGACCCGATTTGGGGTCGAACGACCATTTCACGGGGGTCACCAAACAACGCAGTCCGCCATTTTTTCCCCCTTTTCCTTAGCTGTGCTATTCCCTTTTATTCTATTGGCTTTTGAAAGCCAATAGAATAGATTCTCTTGAATAGAGTCTAATTCTATTGGCTTTCAAAAGCCAATAGGAATTGTCCAGGCTGTCTCTGCCCTGCTGAGCCCGCCAAAAGTCCCATTCTGCAAACGGTGCTGCAAGTTGTCTGCAGCGAAGGTGAGCTGTCTGGAAGTTTCCACCCCTCCCTGCTGAGCAACTACTAAAAATGTAAGTAAAAGAGGGCCAGGGGTGGGCGGTGGGAGGCCGGCGGGCACAGGGAGGGTTGCAGGCATGCGTGGGGCCCGGTGGGTGCCTTACCTCCCTTGGGCTTGGCCAGCTGGTGGCCCAGCCAGTGGTTGGCCTGCGCCATCTCTGCCACTTGCTAGCTACGCCTCGGCTGGCACAGGGAATGGCACCACGCATGTGCAGCGCTCCCGGGCAGGGAAAGTCCTCGACTTACGACCGGTTGGGTAGTCCTCGACTTACGACCGGTTGGATAGTCCTCGACTTACGACCGGTTGGGGTTGCAGCATTAAAAAGATTGAGAACCACTGACCTAGAGTTTATGGGACTTATTTGTTTTTATTGATTACAAATCACTGGAGCTTGGCAATATGGTAATAAATAAATAAAAGGGCTGTAGAGTTGTGATGAGTATGAGGATCCCAGCTGGCTGCATCACAGAATGGAGAAAGTGCCACTTTGGACAGGATATAAGAAGAGTAACACAGAGAGAAATTGCATCTTTGCTCCATTTTCAGGCTGCATAAATCATGAAGTTTGATCAAATCAAAAGCATATCTACAGTGTCTAACTATTCATCTATCTTGAATTCCCGTTTCTCCTGCTTGTTGGCTACAGCACCTAGGAAGGAAGTCTTTCCAAGACTGCTAATTTTCTCTCTCTCTCTCTCTCTCTCTCTCTCTCTCTCTCTCTGTGTGTGTGTGTGTGTGTGTGTGAGAGAGAGAGAGAGAGAGAGAGAGAGAGAGAGAGAGAGAGAGAGAGAGAGAGAGAGAGAGAGAGAGCATGTTTGATGAGTATTATTTTATTATTCTCCTTCATTGGGAGTATTATTAACATTTCCTGCAACCAGTGCCTTTATCTAAGGTAGGGACCCCTGGGGATTCAAACTGGTCAGGCAGTAGGGAACAATCAGCAGCTTACAGGAAAAAAAATCAGCTGAGGACAGAGTTCGTCAGTCTGTGTTAGCTTGTGCCTTACCCCATTCTCAGCCAGGAAAGCTGAAGTGGTCATACACTTGCAGTCCTACCTTATATATTTTATTTATTTACATACAAATGAAGTCACTGCAGTAATTGAAGATTATGAGTAATCATGGCCCACTGTGGTTTGTTAGATGACTTTTCACTTCCTAGTCCAGGGATGAGAGACTAGCCCAAACACAATCAGTCTTCATGTCTAGGGGAGGACTGGAACCTGAATCTTCTTGCTCCTATTCCAGTCCCTTAATCATTATAGAACAATGATTCTTACCTATACATACGAGTACATACCTCTAAAAAAACAATCTGTGTTTCAGATTGTTCAGCTTATTGTCTTCCGAAAACTTTGTATATCCAAACAGAAATTTAATTCTGTTATACTACAAGTAACACATCTATTACAAACTGCACTTACTACAATAAGTTCTTTAGAGATCCAGTTGGTCTAGTTAGTAGTTAAGGCACCAGGCTAGAAATTGGGAGACTGACCCACTTTAGCCATGAAAGCCAGTTGGGTGACCTTGGGCCAGTCACTCTCTCTCAGCCCAACTCTCCTCACATGGTGGTTATTTTGGGGAAATGGGAAGGTGTGTTGGATAGGTTCACTGCCTTGAGTTATTTGTAATAATAAAGGTGGGATACAAATAAATAATAAAAGCACTCTGATTTCATATTTTTCCTTTCATGTTAGCTCCCACTACCACAGAGCCACTGAAGAGACCAGTTCTGTTATGACCTACTCCAATGGTTGTCCAAGACTGGAGAATTGATAATGAGGAAAAGAAGGATACTAGTGAGTATATATTTTGCAAAAAGAATAAGAAAAAGAAAAGAAAAGAAAATGGTGATGTTTGTATGTTATGCATGTTACTTCATTTTCTATCTAACTTCAAGGCAAGGAAATACTAATAGGACTCCTAAAGGCAAAAAAAAAAAGGGGGGGGGGATGGAATAGCCAAGAACATTCTATAAGAATACAATGCACTAATGCATATCACAGATCATCCCTTCTGAATGATTAAATGCTGCAATTAATATTCAGTGAAATTAAAATCATCCATTACGGACTAATTGTTACAGTTTACTAATTACATCAAAAGCTCATTAAAGAAACCCTTTTTTATTTAAGATGGACAATGTGATGCAAAAAGATGGTCTGCCAAGTTGGAAAAACAACAGACATATCAGAGACAAATATTTAGGAATAAAAAAGGCTGTTTATTAAAAGTAAAAGCTTGGATTTCAGATTATTCATCCACGCTCAGCAGGTGGGAGATACAAATATAACCAATCTACTCCTTTGCACATCTCTAAGATGATATTCCTGTTTTCTCCAAGTTGATATCCTAGGAATTCTGGCAATGATATTCCTGGTATAACTTGAATGGATGGTGGCAAGTCTACTGTAGACAATTAAAAAAGTGAAGAAAGAATACCAAGAAATGGAAAATGTAGACTTGATAGTCTTATATGGTTGATATGGCTGGTTCAAATAAGCATCTAACGTGTTAGTTCATTCATTATTTCGATTGACAGTTTTAAAAAGGGCCAGCAAATGTAAAAAAATAATAATCTGCATTCAGCATAGAAAGTATTAGTTTTCAAAGAATCCAGACATGAGCCACATGATCAAACCATAATGCTAATTATCCCTATACTCATGTTGGACACTGTGGCTCACAGTTAGTACGCTGAGTCTTAGACCTGGGATTCATGAGTCTTAGAACATTAAAGGTCCACAGTTTGAGACCAAGTATCACAAGATGAAATGATCTCCTGTCACTTGCCCCAGCTCCTAGCAGTTGGAAATCATGCCAATGCAATTAGATAAATAGGTACTATGTATAAGCTTATGGGAAGGTAACCACATTTTGTGTTTTGCCGTACAGACGGTGTTGCGGTATAATGTCACACGGGCCACATGACTGACTCTTTGGCTTAAGAAATGGAGATGAGCACTGCTCACTAGAGTTGCTCACAATTAGCAAGGTAAAACCCAAAGAGACTCCTTTACCTTAACTTTATTTTCATGTGCAATAGAATTACATCTCTTATAGGAAATTAAAAGTCACAAAATGAAGTGCTTATATTTGGAAATGGAATTCTTTTTACCTCTATAGCATGAGTTTCCGTATTAATTATAAATATCTGTCCACCAGAAGCAGCCCATATGGTTTCCTCCATCACAAGAAGACCTCTGACAGGAAGAACTCCCAATTTCACTATTTTCTGTGGTTCTGAATTCCAGGTCCCATCTTTTGCAACAAGAAATGAAAGAAATTTAATTGTGTTTTTTTTTAAATCACTTCATTTATATAATAATTACTGTGATATACTTATTAATGATAAAATATCCTTGCCTCAAAATGGATTTTTCCTACCTTTTGTTCTATTCCAAAAACATTTTTGACCAAAGTCTACAGCCAGAGGGTGGGTATTTAAAAGGATCGTATGCTTATGTTTATTTTGGATGTTTTTTTTCCATTGGTTCTGTTTTAAAATGTTTTTATTTTTTAAATTATGGTATAATTTTGAATTGTAAGATGCCCAGAGTCATTGACTGAGATGGGTGGCTACAGACATTGAATGAATGAATGAATGAATGAGTCTTTAAACCCTTACAGAGGTATTGGCCATCCTTGCATGTCAGGGAGAAACCTATACAAGGATATTTTTCAAATATTACAAGAGGAAGTGAACTGGATTGTTAAAAACAAAATCTATTGTCACGTATTAGCATTTTAATTCCAATGCTTCATTTTATAATTGGAAATATTCCACTAATTGCCAACCTTCCTCTAAACATTTGACAGTTCTCTTTGCACAACAGTCACAACACAAAGAGAAAACAGGAGTTCAAAGTTATATAAAGCTAATTCTGGACAGTAACTCAGGATTTGTCATGAATTCCATTTAATTAAATATAATAACCTTCTCTTTGCCCTCCAGCAATGGAGAAGAGTTCTCTTCTGTTTGCTTTAGCTAGTATTCATCTTACTACTCAATAGCTTCCTTATTTTCTCTATTGTGTAGCATCACTGGCATTTCAACAGAGCTGCTAAATTGGCCCTGTGAGCAGAGATTGTTAATTGAGTAGTGCAATGGTACATAAACAATAAGATAAATGATTACATACTGGCTCGTTTTTTTTTATCTCAGCAGAGCAAGACTAAAAATACTTAGCAATAGTTAAAAGGAATTCAGTTTTAACCCTTTTGAAATTAATATTTACTTCAATGATTATTCAGAATTACAGCTATCATCAACAATTGAAGGGATCCATATATAGTAAGAGCAAAACAAAAACTTTTCATGATATTATCATTACTGCAATTCCTTAGGAAAAGACAGAACCTTATTCAGTATTTTAATTCTTCAACTGACATAGGTAGCTGGGTAATAATCAATTGAGTTGTATTTATTTATTATTAAGTCTCTATGCTGGCCATTTCACCAAGGTGACTCTAGGCAGCTTAAAGTCATATAATTAAAATACAATATAAAACCTTAAAAGAATAAATAAAAACCAGACATTTAACATTCAGTTAAAATTCAATTGTATTTGCCTCTTTCACCACTACAGTTCTCTCTGAAATATTAGGCCAGATTTAACTAGATCATTTTACTGAATTCTGAATAGTGAACACTGCCCAGTTCAAGATGCCAATACTAATCTATAAAGCTCTAAAGAACTTGGGATACATGAACCTGCCCCAAACATACAAAATAACATCTAAAAACTAATTATCTCTACCTGGACAAATGAGATTGATGAACTCTAAAAGTGACAGACTTTTTGGCAGAAGTGCTCCGAGTCTACAAGATTTCCAACTGAGATCAAACCAGCCTTCCTCAGAGTTTGTACTCCAGATGACCAAGACTGCATTGTCAAGTTGAAATTCTAATGGTCTTTAAAGTTCTTTTCTGGTCTCATGATGACAAATGCTTTCTTCCTGCCATTTTTAGGGTGTAAGATTGTTACTTTTCTTTTAATTGATACAAAATACCTGAATTTTGTACATTGCCTCGAATGCCATTGGAAGATGATTTATAAATAATGTCACATCAATAAGTGAACTGGAGATATCACTGGAATAAAGATCATGGAATCTCTCCCTCTGAATCAAATATAAGGGCTTTCTGGGCAAGACATTAAAGACTGACCAGATGATTTTCTCTTGCACCATGGAAGCAGCTGAAATATAACACATGAGCTCTCTGAATGTGAGTGTTAAGCAGCATTAGAGGCTGAGAGAAATATATCTGCATTTCATTTTTTTTTTCTGCTGCTGATACACAAAACTGGCAATGCCAGGAATTATTGGCAAACTTGGATGAAAAATATTTTGAACTGCAGAGTTAAGTAGTGCAACTTGGATTCTCCAATATCAACTTGTACCAATTATTACTGGGTCAAATCCTCTGTCCCAACCTTTATTATACATCTGACAAAATAGGTCAGCATTTCATTAAGCTGCTTCTTCAGCAGGATTGGAAAAGCAGCTTGAGACAAAAAAAGATTATAGTTACAAACTGGGAGAAAGAGATTTCTTTTTGCAATCACACAGTAAGAAATAATTTTGTAATTCTGCTTAAATTTGCTGCCAAGGAAATTGGAAGCTTCTTTTTATTTCATTTTAGTTTTTCTTTTCCTCTCTTTTTATTATGACTGTTTCTTTTATGCTATTTTAACTTTTGATTGAGAGCAGCTCAAAAGTGGTTATCAGATAAGCAGCTATATAAATGTTTTAAATAAATAAAAATAGTTTGTGTTAGTTTGTAATGTTCTTTGCAAAACATTTGATAAAAAATATTTTTAAAATGTTACAAACAGAGAGGAAGCAAATGTTTATCTGGGAAGAAAGGAACACAGAGACCACTGTATGTGCTTTCTTTAAGACTTAAAAAGAGCCACAATCACAGCAACCCTAAAGGACATTGCAAACTCTGCTGAACACAGAGCTGCATTAAAGAGAGTCCATCTCTATGTAGTGGATGTGCTTTCATCTCTCTTCTTAATATACACCCAGCTATTTGTGACATAAAAAAAGAAGTTTTAAATATATGTTGCTGATAACTGGCTCTGCATTATTTGCAAAAAATATACCATCCTACTATTAAGAATACTGAGAAGTTCAACATTCACAATAAAATTAACAGAATTGAATCAAGTACTTGGAAATCTATGTCCTGTCTAAGATGACAATGTACCAGGCAGGTGTTTCACTATTTGTAATCTTTACTATTTGTAATCTGCATAAAGAAACAAGAACTGCACATGTGTTTGTAAGATGCAGAGGCTGAGAGAGTCAAAATTTAACCCTTTCTCCCTAAACAACCAAGATATTTCATAATTTTAAACCTCACACTATTATTGCAATAGAAGACAATATTTGTAGCTCGTGGTTGAATTGTAGAATTCTTGGTGCTCTCTGGTGTGGTTGTTTGCTTTGCAGACATTTGATTACCCAAGTTGGATTCACACTGATGAAGTTAGCTAATTGGGTAATGAAATGCCTGAAAGCAATTAACCACACTCATAGGGCACCAAGGAACTCCACTGATCATTATTTTAATTTAAATGTATTAAAAGTTAGCGAAGAGGAGTAAATGAGGAGCCTCGTTTTTAACAAGTATATACTAGACCAGGGATCCCCAACCCCTGGGCCACGGCCCACTAACGGGCAGTGTAAACGATGGGTGAGCATGCACAATGCGCGTGCAGCTCCACTTGCACTAGCGATGGGCACTCATACTTGAAGTTCCATTTCTGCAAGTAGTGGGCGGGCACAAGTTCATGCGCATGCTTGCCACTCACACAGAACCATCCTCTCTTCCCCCTCTGCCAAACCAGAAAGGTTGGGGACTGTTGTACTAGACCACTTTGAGGAAATCAATACATGGAACAGGACAAACTATGGCTTAAACATTTAAATGTACGTTGTTTTTCAATTAATACTACAATAAATACTGTAAAGATAGTGTGTGCAGGCATGCACAAGATATAGCCTTAAAGGCATTTTATGTTATATCTTAAAACATATATTCATGCCACCTCTTAGAAAGATTTGGAATTAATTCCTTATGAACTAAACATGCAGTATCTTCCCCATCCTACTGCTCTTCAGCTGTGACAAGGCTGCAGTTCCTCTAATTTTCAGGAGGAGTAAAAGACTTACAAGAAATAGGCCAGCACACCCGAATTCTCCTCAATTAGAAAAGACCCTTGGAACTGAAAAACTGCAATTAGGAATGACAATATATGTAGCTGGCCCAGGAATCTGTTTCTAATGTAAGAGTTCCTATTTCCAATCTGCATGGAAAAATTGAAACACGTATTGCTTATGAAATTACAGACTAAGCAGATTTTTCAAACCTATATATGGAATTTCTGATGACCACTGATGCCAACAGCAATGAAAATGTGAATATGAAGCTAGGAGGAAAAAAAAAAAAGAACCACAGTAATGGAATCTGTGTCTATAAACACTGCAACTATGAAACCCTTCTGGATATCCCATAACATTCTTATACCTTCCAATTTGGAGTAGATTGCAATATTTCCATTGACTAGGCCAGCAAATAAATGGTGAGTCTTGTATGCTAAGCTCATCACAGTAGACTTCTCGGGAGCAAAGAAGTGTTGTAGACGGACTTTCTTGGATCCTTGACTACTTTTGTAAACCGAAATGCTGTTTAAGAAGAACAGGAAATATATTAAAAATCATGATATAAAAATAATAAAGGAAAACGGATTCAGCATTACATTCAAGAATTTCTTCCTTTCTATGCTTTTTTACACTTTGTTTTTTGTAACATCTAATGCAGGGCTGTGTGTGTGTGTGTGTGTGTGTGTGTGTGTGTGTGTACACAGACACACAGACACATAGCCATATACAGTACATGTGACAGCATTGATGTTCTGCATGGCCAAAATTCATGGTATGTATTGTTCGTATTAGATGAAACAAAACAAATGCATATTATCTGTGACTATCTTAGACACAGTCTAAAAGTAACATTATTTTAGAATTTACAATCCAAACCCAAATCTAGTAACGCTGAAATCAATCTACAAACTCTATATTTCTATACTATTTCAGAATTTATGAGGAGAGAATTTGTCAGCTACAAAATACAGTGTATTACTTTCCGAAACACACAGAGAGATTGGGGGAAAACAGAGGGAACTGTACATTTCTTCTAATGCAAGAAAAAGAACGCTTCCCACTTGAAAGAGAATATTTTCTTTATCGTGCAGAATGTTCAATACCTAAACCTGCATCTCATATATCTTAGGCTTTTAAATATTACTTCTTTTTTGTTGGCCTACAGAACTACTGGAACCTACAGAACTACAGAATGTTGGCATAGAATTATTGAAAGAAAGAGAATGAGAGGGTGAAAGATTAACCATCAGACCTAAAATGTTTCATCAAGTTTAAGGCCATATTACTACAGAATACTCAATACGTTTGCCTTAATTTATTAGTGGCAAATGACCACAAAAATACTATTTATTTTAGTTCTGAATACACCCCACTGCTTGCAAAGAATGAGAAATCATCCTCATTTGTTTAAATGCAATGTAACTTCCTATAAGGATGTGCAGAGTTTTAAATAAATTAGATCTTTCAAAATAACTATGATTAGATTTAGCCATTGGCCAGAAATATGTGATTTGGTGCAGCATTATATTTTTATCTCTCTCTCCATCTCATATAGAACTAAATAATCCATAGAAGTGAAGCACAAACATTAAAAATACCTTCCTTCTTCCATGCCTAGACAAATAGTAGACACATTGAAAGGTTTTGTAGGCATGTCTCCGGATTCAGGAAACATATCATTTGATTCTTTGGATTCCTCCTCTTCTGGAATGTAGACCATACAAAGAATTCTTGACTCCACATTGAAGCATTCAATAAGCTTTGGACTGGAGTTTTGAAATGATACAATGGCGATTTGGCCCATCTGATTAGTACAACTGCCAATCTGTATTATAGAGAAAAGTTTTACTCTGCTTCATAACAATATCTCTTTAACCAATAACATACATGGCAAAGTTCATTAGAAAAGAAATCATTAAGTTTTAAGCTGAACGATTTTTTAATGAAACTATTTTAAATTAAGTAGTTTCTAGAAACTGGACATTAAAAGAAAATAATAATACTACATGCCTAACTTACTGACTGAAAATATGGGGGGGGGGATTCACATGCTAACCAGAGTTTTGTTCCCTAAAAAACTTCTTTATTTCTTTAACAGCATTATGTACTGCAAATATATTCACACATATATGTTTAGCATAAAAGAATTCGTGATAGTTCTAGATTTTATTTGTTAATCCTACAATAGACGTAATTTTACAATGGATTACATTGCCAACAGAAACACTGATGATGACCAGGTTTTAGGAAATTATTACTTTGTGTGAGTTCTGCTGTTAAATATATTTCATACCTCTGTTAAAATTAAAAAATCTCACTCTCCCTGTTCAAAACAGTGTAAAAGATAACAAGTGATGATTTGCAAAAATTCATATAGAGGGATATGAGGCACAGAAATCAACTTCAGGCCACAAAATACACTGTTGCATAATGTCAAAGGATCCACCCATACTCGTAACTTTTTTTGTTAATACTGAATGTCAAGGGTCAAGTTAGATAAGATACTGGGAAATCATTCTCTACCCTTAATTTTTATAAGCTTTTAGAATGGTTTTGACATGCCTGATTGCATATTATGTATTAGAATGATGCTTAAATCTTTCCTAACCTGGCTGTGCCTCCCATTCTAACAATTTCCAAGAAAAGAGGCCTTGAAAAAGGCTTATATTGGGAAAACTATCCTGCTGCTTTCATGCACTAAACATCACCTGTCCTTTATTCAGTTTTCATCTTAAAAAAGTTAAAACCAAATGAGCAGACTTTTTTTTTAAGAACACAGTCATCAGTATGTTATCCTGCTTGGTATATCTCTATCTCTCTCTATCTCTATTTTTTTTTCTTTTTACAACCCTGTAATTCCTTTTTGTCATGGTGGAGTCAGGGCGACTGAATGGAGCTGAGTATTTATGGGCCAGATGCCCTTCCTGATGCCTACATGGAGTTCAGAGCAGGTATTTTCTCTTTGCATCCTGATAGAGAAACATTTGAACGCTCAACTTTCCAAGTGGGAGGCGAGCATCCTCACCTATAGGCCACCATGCCTCTTATCTATATCATTGAAAAACTGAATTTTCAAAAGAGAATTAATTTTTAGACTATTATTCCATTCTCTATAAATGCTATTATGTGAACTTTGAAAAAAATTAAATCCTTACCCACAGAAACCCATACTCCATAGAAAGAGAATCAGGATCACTTTCTTCACATAAACAAGGTTCAGGATTATAAGCAGCACATTCAACCTTAACCCACAAAATAAAGATCATTAGTAAACATCTTAGATATTTGTTATAGCAATAAATAAATAAATGATAATGCTTTTCTGGCCCAGTGCTAGTAAAACTGAAGCAAATGAGTAAAAGAAAAACAATTTATATTTTGCCACCTCATGTCACACACTTAAATCTCATTCAGGAATTTGAGGAGCCTTCAGTGAACTAAAATTACATGAGACATTTCAGATGAAAGAAAAAGGCATGGTACATGAGCAAAAATCAGCTTGTATGTTTGTCAGACTTGGGTCTGACATAAATGCAAATGTATACTATTAACCACTTTTTATGATCTATGTCAGTTTTGGAGGGTGACATTAAATAAGCTTCTAGAAAATGCTTTCAGTCCAAATAACAAAGAGGAAATAAACTTAACTTTAGGTAAACTACATATTAGCTCATGCATGTTTCAATCTGTACATTAGCTATTTAGCAAACTAAATTGATGATCTTTACCTTAAATTCCTGTTGTTTGGCCATCATCACAGGCATGTGTTTCACAAGGAGTGGGTGTTTCTCTTTTTTAATCTGATTCCCGTCATCATCTATGCAGAACCAACCCAGCAGATTTTCATCAGCTGTAATGGCAAAAGGGAAAAAAGAAATGTCTTTGTTTTTCAATAAGTTATGGCTATGTTTTTATGTATCAAATTAAATATGAATAGACATTTATTTTCTAGTAACTGTCTCTGTAGAATAAGCAAGTAATCAAATGTTTTCTTTTAAATGCCCACAAAGTTGTTTAATACATAAAGGCATAAAGGTTAAAGTTAATAATGGGAAGTTCTAGAGAAACTTTCAGCCTTATGCTGCTTAAATCTAGAAGGCAACATTTACGTATTCAAAAATCACGTTTTAAAAGATAACCAATATTTAGAAAATCTCTAGAAAAAATCTCTCATGCTATTTGAAAGATGACCTTCCAACAAATATATTAACTTAAAACAGTAGGGTAAAAGAGTGTTCGCAGAGATGTGATGGGTTATTCCTTCTATAGATTTTAACTTCAAGGATGGTTAGGCTACTTCCAAAGCAGAGCGAATGCATCAATATAATGAGAAGATATAGTGTTTATTATATATATTATAGTAATAATAATATTATATATTAAATAATAATATATTATTATACTATTACTATATTATAGTAATAATAATATTATATATTAAAGAAGGGAGAGAGAGAAAAAAAGGAATCAATATTTTTGCCAGCAGGAGAAACCCCAGCATTACTACCATACATACACATAGAATAAAATAGCAAAAGGATACACAAAGAAGTTCAAATCAATGCACAATAAGGTTATAATAAATGTTTCCCCTGTCCAGTCATGTCCGACTCTAGTGGGCAGCGTTCATCTCCGTTTCTTAGCTGAGGAAGCCAACGTAGTCCAAAGACATTTCTGTGGCCATGTGGTTACTATGACCATATGTCAAAGCACGTACCTTTCCACTGAACTGCTATTTATCTACTCACTTTCGAATTGTTAGGTGGGCAGGAGCTGGGGCAAGTAATGGGAATTCCCCGTTGCATGGTACTACAGTCTCAAACCTGAACTGTCAGCTTTCCTGCTGACAAGCTCAGAGTCTTTAATGGCTGAGCCATCGCACCCTTTCAACTATAATATAAATTAGCAAAAAAAGCCTGACTACATCTAACTTCATATTTTCATTAGACTAATTTCTTCAGAGTTGCTGACCCTATTCCAGGACTGAAATGGTTGATCTTAGAGACTCCTGGCAAAGAAGAGCTGATTTTTTTCTCTCTCTCTCAATTGATTGTTTTTGAATTTGCTGGTCACTATCTAGAATAAATTAACTGATTCTCTGTTAAGTGTTTCTCTCCTTTGCCACAATCATTCTGAAAGCAAAGCTAACTGTCCTTTAGTTTAATTTATGTAAGTTTCAAGTACAACAAAGGAAAAGCTTACCTAAAGTAAGCTTAGCCATCTGTAAACTTCTGATCCACGACTGTTTGATGGCAGGTGTAAATGTATTGAACACAGCTGTAAAGAAAGTAGGCCGTCCTGATCTATTAAAATTAAAGAAAGTAAGTCAGTGCGTATTCCTATTACATATAAAATAAAAGTATTCCATCTATTCTTTTATCAATATGAAAACAACTATTCATTAGCTACAACTGTAGCACCAAATAAATTATTATACGTTCTATTGAACAGCATTAGTATTTTTTACAATATTGAAAGGTGCACTTCCATAACTTGCAAATAGATTTTATTTAATGCCTATCTAAGTAAAGACCTATCAACTCTCCCAGAGTTGGGAAACCTTCCTATTTCTGTATTTTGGGACAAGAGGCTGACATTTATAGTCATTGTATCCCATTATTCTGACTCCATTTGTAGCATAAGTGATCAATGTCCTATATTGGTAATCTTGTACAGCCTTTCAGACAATTGTGCTTCTCCTTCCACTGAGGAATACAAGTTATGTCAGAGTTGTGTTACTATCTCTTTTACCTGTGGGTTGCTACTGGTATAAAATCAAAGCTAGCAGATTGGTACAGTATTTGCATACTGAAACAGGGTTATAGAAATTGACCAGATTAGGATTTCTTATAACTTCTGAAATATGTTAGAGAATAAGAAAATAATAAGCAGTCAGACTGAAGGGGACACAACTGTCCATTCTCATACAAGGAAAGGAAGTTTGATTCCTTATGAAGTTGTGTTTTTTAAAATCTGTATCAAATGTCTAGAGAAGGAGGATTGCTGGCTCAAGTAGTCCTCGACTTACAACCACAATTGAGCCCAGAACTTTTGTTGCTAAGTGAGACATTTGTTAAGTGAGTTTTGCCCCTTTTTACAATCTTTCCTGCCGTATTTGTCAAGTGAATGACTGCAGTTGTTAAGTTAGCAACATGGCTGTTAATGGCTTCCCCACTGACTTTGTTTCTCAGAAGGTCACAAAAGGTAGTCACATGATCCCGGGACCTTAAAACCATCATAAATATGATTTCCTAATCCTAAATGTGAGTCAGTTGCCAAGCATCTGAATTTTGATCACATGACCATGGGGATGCCGCAACCATCGTAAGTGTGAAAAAGGGTCATAAGTCACTTATTCTCTGTGCCATTATAACTCTGAATGGTCACTAAACAAATTGTTGTAAATTGAGGACTACCTGTATACGTGTATACAGAAAAGACATTGAACTAAATAAACACAGCATCGGTTAGCTAGTGGGATTTTATTTCAGCTCCCTTGGACACCTAAAACACTTCCTACTTCTGTAGTTATTTATTTATTTATTTATGAGACTTATATACCGCTTTAAGTGCAAGCACTCTCTACGTGGTGTACACCAGTAAGCAATGTATATATATATTTAAATTGCCCCCAACAATCTGGGTCCTCATTTTACCTACCCTGGAAGGATGGAAGGCTGAGTCAACCTTGAGCCGGTGAGATTTGAACCGCTGACCTGCTGAACACAGTCAGCTAAAGTGGCCTGCAGTACTGCACTCTAACTGCTGCGCCACCTCGGCTCAGTTATGAGGTGCATATTGCCTGCTCACATCTTGAATGTAGTATAAATTATTAGGTACTATTTGCCTGCAGCTTATTTAGCAGCAATTATTAGGGAGTCCTTGAAAACTGCTGCCAGAAAAATGTCTCATATATAAAGACAGATGTTATCAAGACCTGCTTCCTAAGCACATGGCTATCATCCTTATTTTGCATCACTAAACATGATCCTCCTCTTCCTCCTACCCAGAAGCTACATTTTACTGTGCTGGCTTTCACGACAACTTCTCCCTCAGGTGCTTTCCAGAAAATATACGTCTCCTCTCTAGCTCAAGGGTGCTACTAACTTGTCCTGTTTTCCTGGAAGCTGAAGCTGAATCCGACAGCGGTCTGCAGCTCTAATTTCATCTTCTTTTTTCAAAATGAGTTTCTGTAAACCTGAGGTCCAATCATGAGCCACCGATTGATTTAAATTCTGGTGGAACAACAACAAGAAGAACAAATGTTGAAGTTCATACAATGTTACATTAAGTTTATTTTGCCCGTGGTATCAAAAACCTGTGAGGCTGGGCTGCAAACCATTTTAAGATACATCATGAGAATTTAAGCTAAAATTTCCTTTGTATCTGGAAAGGCCTGCATTTAATAATAGAAGTCTACTGCCATTCTATATAATTTTTACTTGAAAGGGACACAGGCACAAACATGATGTAGAGCATGGATTAAAACCAGCATTAAATAATGCTTAAACAGACTTGATAGCACAACGCCCCATGCTAAAGAAATACTGTTATTAATTCATGATACAAGCGTATGACATTTTCCTTAACATCAGGAATAAAAATACCCTATTAAATACCCTATGCTTAGACTGCACATACGGAAATAGGTTAAGTACAACAAACTCAGCAAGGCATTGCTAATCTCCTCACAACTCTCCAGTTTACCATTCAGCAATAATCACATTAGTATCACACAAAAGAGGAAAGTGTTCGCTTAATTTGGAAATTTAATTCTACAGCCATCACTTAATTACCTGGTAGTTTCCCTTCAGACTGCATACTAGTTGACTGATTTGGCCAACTACATTCAAGTCATGTAAGAGGTTCTGCAAATCACTGTACAGTTGCCCTGGTCCCATATAAAGCTTATCTAGAACATAAAAAATATGTAATTAAATGTTTATAAAGTAAGACAGTTATTAGACAAACAATACACTTTGCAACCAAAGTTATAGGAATAGTACCTAAAGTGGATATACACACCCCCATCAAAGTGTCAGGTTTTTGAGATGTAAAAAATACAATTTATAAGCTGTACAATTCAACTGAAAAGTAAACTAAAATCTTGTAGGAGGAAAAATAACAATAAAATAATGTACAATAATGTGGTTGCATAACGTGCATATCCCTTGTAAGTAGGGATGTGGCTGTGATGAGAAATAACCAATCACATTCAAACTGATGTTAAATAGTAGTCCATAGACACCTGCCATCAATTAGCATCATTCTAATCAAGCCCATATAACATTCAGATGTTGTAGTAGGGTTTTTCTGACATTTACTCAGTTGCCTCTTATAGCAAAAGCCATGGTCTACAAAGAGCTTACAGATCTCATTGTTGGAAAGTATCAGTCAGGAGAAGGATACAAAAAAATTTCCAAGGCATTGGATATACCACGGAACATAGTGAAGACAGTCATCAACAAGGGGAGAAAATATGGTACAACACCGAAATTATCAAGAACTGGATGTCCGTCCAAAATTGATGAAAAAAACAAGGAAAACATCCAAACTGGCTACATTTTGCAAAAAACTACTTCAATTCTGACAAAAGCATGTGAGAAAATGTGTTATGGTCTGATGAGACCAAGGTTGAACTTTTTAGCCATAATTCCCAAAAGTATGTTTGGCACAAAAACATCGCATCATCAAAAGTACACCATACCCACAGTGAAGCATGGTTACAACAGCATTATGCTTCGGGACTGCTTTTGTTCAGCTGTAACTGGGGTTTTAGTCAAAGTGGAGGGAATTTATAAATAGTTCCAAATATCAGTTCATTTTGGCACAAAATCTTCAGGCCTCTGCTAAAATGCTGAAAGTGAAGAGGAATTTTACCTTTCAACATGACAAAGATTTAAAGCATATCTCCAAATCAACAAAAGAATGGCTTCATCAGAGGAAGATCAAAGTTTTGGAATGGGCCAGCCAGAGGCCTGATACGATTTTAATTGAAAATCTGTGGGGTGACCTGAAGAGGGTTGTGCACTAGGAGGACTTTGTAAGGCAGAGTGCGCAGAAATTCCCAAGGCAAGATGCCATGCCGATAGGGTCCTATTTCAAAAGACTGAATGTTGTCATAAAATCAAAAGGTCTTCAAAAAGTATTAGTTTAAGGGTGTGCACACTTATGCAACCATTTTATTGTAAGTTTATTTTGATTTTTTTCCCCACTAAAAGATTTCATTTTGTTTTTCAATTGAATTGAACAGTTTATCTGTTACAGTAAAGGTAGAAATAATTCCGAAATTATTTATCTTTATCTGATTTCTTTACATCTCAAAAACCTGGCATTTTAACAGGATGTGTAGACTTTCTATATCTATAGTATACTATTCTATATATAAAATAGATCAGAGGTCGCCAATATTTTCAAGCTGGTGGACCAGATGGAAAGGGAGCAGCTGGGAAATTTGTGTATGCACGCACATATGTGCGCATGAACAGGGCCGCGTGCACCTGCATGGGGCTATCAGCCCCGTTTGCACAGGTGCTAGCCACCACTGCTGCTAGCACCGGAGCGCATACACAAATGGGCCAAGCAACCCGCATGGAGTTAGTGGCCCCATTTGTACAGGCGTGCAGGCACTAGCCGCCATCACACTAGCCCCACATGCATGCGCAAATGGGACCTGCAACCCATGCACTCATGCTAGCACCTGCTAGTGGCCCCATTTGCACAGATGTGCAGGTGCTAGCCACCGCCGCTAACCCTGCACGCATACGCAAATGGGTTTGCAGGTGCTAGCATGAGTGGGGATAAGCCACCCTGTCCCATGGCCCAGTGGCCAGTAGGCCACAGCCCAATAGGGTACCGCAGCCCATAGGCTGAGGACCCCTGTAATAAAAACTTTAAAAACAATGGTTTTCCCCATTTCATTTTATAAAATTCAAACTCTATTTTCAATTTAACTATTAATTCTTTCAAAAACATAACAAAAACTCATCCAAACATCATACCCAACCTAATCCAACCCTAAATTAAAGTAAGTATTAGGCTGCAATAATTAAATATTAATTACATTAATTAAATTGCTAACAGATGATCAAATGATTAATTATAATTTATTCCTTTATCACAAAGAGGACATAATGTGATCTCTCTATATTTTGGAATTTAAGTTACAGCCATGCTTTTTAGAGAACAACTGAGAACACCTTGGTTCTCAGTGTTTTAAATATATCAAATTTAGGCATTTGTTTTTCTCTACCATAAACAGAACAATAAAGAGTCCACATCTGATATCAAACTGACAAATGGCAGCATCAGTGAGAATACATTAAACAAAAGCAAGTGCCAGAATCAGCAAAAACACAAGCTAAATAATTTGGTTTCAGCAATTAGAAAGACAATCTGTACATTCTGGATATGTTTCTGAACAAGAAGAACTTAATTAGCAGGGCAGTCTTCCAATTACATGTATCTCAATGATTTAGCATATAAATTGGAATAGATTGGTCTATTTGTATATATTATGCAATCAAAAGAAATTGTTAATCCCAAGCATCTTTTAATTTCCATGTATGATTGCAGAACATCACAGCAGAACAATATCACTTCATGTCATATTTAAGACTGTGCTCGCCATCTGTATTTAAATACTTATAAACATGATTCCTTTTTAAAAAGATCTACTATTCAATTAATCAGGAGTGTGTACAGCTATTAAGATGTTTGTGTTTTTAACTGATCAAATGAACTGATTAAATGAGCAGTATAAACTTTAAATAAATCTGTATGCAGGCTTTAAGATTAGAAGGCAATGCTTATTATTTAATATATGTTTCATAAATATGCTTGAGTATACACATTTAAGAATGTAAGAACCCAGAGTGCTAATAAATAACTATTCTGATTTTGTTTTTCATTCTAGATAAGAGCATGCTTATCCCTGAGCAATTGTAGCATTGTTTTCTGTAATTATGTACAATATATAACCCCTTTTTTAAATCTGGGGTACTCTAAATGTGCAGAATTTCAATTCCATCCCACAATTCCCCAGCCAGCTTTTGAAAGGCACAAGATTTGGAAAGATCATTCCATAGGCAAAAATCTGTAATAAATACAGTAACATAGTTATCATTAATTATTGAAAATTGTTTTGGGAGTGAAGGAATAGCTTCCATGTTACCTTTCTTTGGCTGAATTACGTTAACTGAAATAATTATAGAGGCTCAGACAAAATGTCCTTTTGAATGTCCGCTATTGACAATAGTCTTTGGAAGGTTGCTTAAAAAATAATTAAAGTACTTAAGGATAAAGAAAATGAAAAAGGGAAAGCAAATTAAGATGTGGGCAGATTCATAAGGGTGAAATGTAGGGATTTTTTTTTAAAAAAAATACTGCTCTTTTCAATTTTGCAACTTTTCAAATAGAAATAAAGGCAAATTTCAAAGAAGTTCTTTTATCTTTTGAGATTCAGCATAAATGGAACTTTCAATTTAGGAGGATGTTACTATTTTTAATTTTTGTATGTATATAACAATGTTCAGATGAAATCACAAGCACAGTTGATGACAACTTGTGAATATGCCTTGTCATGCCAGCAAGTCCTTGTCTGTTGCACAGGTTTCTTTTGTGCAGCCACACATATTTCTGGGAAAAATAGCTTTAAAAAGCCACAGATAGGTTCTACATGCCTATTCCCATGTGCTACAAAACCCAGCTGCGTTTAAATATGTTTACAACTAATCATAACCTGTGGTAAATCATGTTGTCCAAACATAGTTATAATTAATGCACAGTTATACAGCATTTATATAAGCAGTACAGAAACAGCAGCACAGGAAAAAGAACCAAGGACCATTAGACTTCAGTGGATGAATTTTGGACTTTTGACAAAATCTGAGTTCAATTTCCTACCCAATGAATGGATAGTTACTATGCATATGCAAAATAAAATAGACACACAAGGAAGATAGGACTCCTGGAAATAGTTACATTATTAGGGTGAAGCATACAAAGAATATTATTATTGAAGGTGACAGTAATTATGAAGAATATTGTGAAGGCGCCACAGGCCATATAGTTTTCATTAAGCCATAAAGTGTATTTGATTCCACCCCGCCTTTGTTACTTATATAAGATAACGCAAAATAGAGAACATACACAATACTCTTCTCTCCTCATATTTTTCCCATAATAACAACCCTGTGAACTGGGTTGGGCTGAGAGAATAACTGGCCCAAAGTCACCCAGCTGACTTTCATGCCTCAAGTGGGATTAGAACTCAGTTTCCTAGTTTATAGCCTGATGCCTTAACCACTAGACCAAAATGATGCCATGGTTTGCACCTGAAAAGGAAAAGCAATATCTGCGACAACAGGGTTTAATATTACTGCTAAAAAATCAGATACCAGGGAATTTACTTAACAACAACAAAAATAGAGCTTTTTAATGAATAATTATTTGCAGACTTAGAAATCTGTAAAGGTAACTGTGTTAAGATGGAGAACATATCCAATACTCCTTCCTCCTATTTTCCCCACAATAACAACTCTCTGAGATGAGCTGGGCTGAGAGTGAGTCATTTTTTTGTGAGATGCCAAAGAGATTTTTGTGAGATTTTTTGTGAGGGTGAATGTGTGAATTAATTAATTTATGTATCACTAGGATTTAAAAACAACTTGATGGCACATAATCAATCTACGTACATGCATGTTTAGCTATAGATTGGTTCAACACAAATGACTAAGCTATATATGTTTGTGTATATATACAAATCTAGGAACATTTTGCTATGTAATTTTGTGCACCTGTCTCCTGTAATATGAGAAATCCTGTCCCGTAAGACTTTTCTTCATAGGAAGCCCTATCCAGGGGTTCTCAACCTTGACAACTTTAAGACTTGTGGACTTCAACTCCCAGAAT